GTCATTGTTTTCTATGGCTTGTTGTAATTTTGCAGTAACTGATGCACTGTTGGATAACAAACCAAGAATTGAATAGGGGAGCACACTTGAGTTGTGATAGCAACAAAGATATTTACTTTTCGTTGCCTCCTTTCTGTGCAGCCACCCTCTCCATTCAGAGCAGACGTTAGTGTGAAGCGACAGAGTGTGTAAAGGGAGCGTGTGAATGAACGACAGAAACAACGAATAAAAGAACCCATTAGCTTAGTTACCAAGAGCCTCTTAAAAGCCTCCACTCTCCTCTCGTCCTTCGCCTCCATTCTCCCTCCCCATCTCTCCCCACTGTCCCCATTTGCTTTTTTTTCTATTTTTCCTCTTTCCTCTCTTTCCTCCTTTTCCATACTCTCTTATTAGTTTGTTTGATAAAAATACAGAGCATCAGGCAAAGACAACACTCTGGCTCTTTCTTGTCTTTCCTTTGCTTCCTTGAAGCATAGCTGTTAGGAGTGAGAGTGTACACACAGTCTTTTGTGCGTTTGTGTTTGTCTGTTTCTTTTATTTTATGTAACAAACAAGAGTTTTGTCTGTAGGACAATGGAAAGTAAAGAGAAAGTGGCGCATGTATAGGGTGCACTTTTTTTTTTATTCATAATGATGCTTTAGATGTATATTAGACTTAGATAAACTTGAATGATCCACAAGGGAAATTGTTTTACCACAGTAGCAAGCGCACAAAATAAATAATTATATGAAAAAATGCAATAAATAAAAATAAAAAGGTTGAAAAAAAGAATACCATACAAAGATTTCCATATGTAAAATTTACAATTTTACATTTTTTTTCCAAGTAAGGGAAGACAAATCAAATAATTTACACAGGCTTCGTGTGATCAACCAAAAGTGGATTTGTACAATACACAATAAGTGAAGGATAGAATCTGCCCATTGTCTGTTTACCACAAACTCTCAGCTGTCTCATATCTGTCGGATATCCATCAAACTCTAAGAAACATCCCAAGACACTTTTGCCACTTCAGTCACTCCAATTTGTTTTCGTTGGTTAAAATGTACAATAGTGTAATCTTTTTACTAAACCATAGGGTTGCAGTGAAACCAATACTTATCGTCTTGTGTCAACTGCGAGTACAATTAGAGGTGGAAAACACATTCTTAGTTTTTTATAGAATGTCGTTATTGCAGGAGGTTTATTTTTGGCAAATCTTTTAATTAGACGTGAAGATTAAAGGGATTTTGATGAAATATTACAGTTTTAAGCTCCGATTTGGTTAACTTGCTCTGTTAAATAATGTCAGCCAGAAGCAAAGGAAACACACCAGCACAGAAATAAGGAGAACTGAGAGTAAAAAAATATGTATTTTAAACCAATTTTCTTAATTGTGGTTACATTTTCTCGACCATAATAGGTATTTTGTGTCTTTAAATGGTCAGTAATGACAGGAGAGTGGATACATTTCTGAGCTATAAGGCCACATAAACTCATTACCTTTACTAAATACGGTTCATTCATGCTTTATGTGTCGTCACCCCCCAATAGCCCCATTCTGAGCCAGGAAAACCCCTGAATGACAATATAAACATATTCATTGAAACCTATGTAACCATGAGAGATATATCAGTAAAGCAATGGGGTTTCATTTACGCTGATCAAAATTGTTCCATTTCAGGATGATTAGTGTCTTTGATCAGATAGCAAACTAGCTGTCATTTAATAAAGGCATGTTAGTTGACCAGGTCAGAGAAGCAGACCTACACCTGAAAGTTTGACACCTAATTTGCAATTACATTTGCAAAAGTGTCTTCTAGGAGTGTCCTGAGGTTACTAACTAGTGTTCTTCTGCAGCTAATCACTTGCAATTTGGATTCATAATTACGCAAGTGGTAACCTTGTGAAAACATAAAATCTTTCCTAACCTGAGGATAATACATTCTGTCGTGTTATATTACGACTAGTGACACAGGACCAAAACAAACCATTGATTAGGCGCCGCAAAATGTCAAAATCACAAGTTTTAATGGGAAAATCAACTCGCTTCCTCCAGTTTTCTGAAAATGAAGTGAAATGGGCTACAAAGGAAAGCTACTTATCATCATTACTGGCTGCCTTTTTCTGCTGGTTCCGTGTGTAGATGTGTGTTTGTGTGTCTTCCCGGGCTTTGGCCCAGCACAGAAGCAGACCTCTGTTGCAAATGTAATTCACATGAGGCCAGAGGAGCTCTAATGCTATTACCACACAGACACAAATGAACACACACACACACACACACACGCACAGCTGTGTTGCCGCCCACGGTCTCTGTGTGTTACCTCTCTTTTCTAACTCCTTTTCTCTCCCTTGCTTCCTCTCCCTCAGTTACTGACAATTTGTTGTCGTGGTTTACAAAGATGCAAAATTAAAGGTGCAAAACTCATCATGTCTTTGGGGCTCCTCTGTGGCGCTACTCAAACGGTTTCTTCGAACTCAAAAGACAACTTGCAGACAGAAAAGCTGAAGAGAAAAAGAGATTAATCAGTAGATTAAGGCTTCCTTTAGCTATGTGGCTAAATGTGTTTGTAATTTCAAAGGATTTATCTGCTGATTCATTAGTAGATGCTCACCAAACCTTTCGTAATGGAATGGAAATTATTTTCAACACGGCATGTTTTGAAAGATCAGATGTAAGATTATCTGTTTTATGGTATCTGTGGGTGTGTGACCACAGTAGCGCGGAAGTTGTGTTACGAAAAAAAGTGAAACAAGGACAGGAAGAAGGTCTGAGTTTTGTGAAACTCAGGAAACCAGGATGTACAGTACATGTCCGTGTTACAGTAACAGGAGGAAAGCCTGCAGCCAGAGCCAGAGAGAAGAGGTGGGACCATTTTTCACACGAGGCTCCAGAAGCCTGAACGCCCACGCTGACTTTCTCAGACTCGCCGAGAGAGAGAGAGAGAGCAAGCGAGAGGCGAGGGGGGGAGGAGTGAGAGAAGCAGAAAAAGTCAAAGAGATGTCTAATTTTCTTGCTGTCTCAGAAAGAAAGAGGAAAGTGATTAAACCATCTGAGAGAATCAAAAAAAAAGGCCCTTGAGAGCGATAACATGTGAGTGTTATCAAGGTGGAGCAGCAGGAGTTTTTTGTGATACGAAAGTTTTGAAATTCTTGATGCTGTGAAGTCATGAATGGAAGAGTTGCACGACACATTTCAATGGAAGTCCAGAACAAAACGCACTGGACATTGAGCAACTGGTTCCTAAAATTGTGCGCCGCTTTAGTAAGCAAACGTATTCTTACTTCGTTTATTTGCTGCTGCGTGCCGTTTTATGTCACAGTTGCAGGAAATTTACTGGGAATTCTAGAAATAGAAAGAGACTAGCAGATAAATATTGTTCTTTACCAAAGTTATTCTGTGGTGTATTCAATTCATTAACCCTCTTTAACCAGTGGACAGGTTTGAAAGACAAGTCATCTTTGAAAACATCACACCATTTATCAGATTCTGAAAAAATGCTGAAACACACCTTTTGCTCAAACCACATTCTGTAAAAATAAATAAATAATTCCATCCTTCTCGGCACAGCCAGGAAGCCAGTAGTGACTCGATGGCCACCAACAGACATGCAACAAAAATTCAGAGTTTTCAGCTGAACTGCAGGCTAAGAGAAGAATGTATGGAAACAAATTAAAAAGGGAAAGTAGTAAAATATCTATAGGATGTAAACGTCACCATTTTTCTCCATTAGTGGTGACACCTGTGGGCACTTGGGAAAATATTGTACCGCATTATTGTCTTTGGAATATGAAGTATCGGAGAAATTTGAATATTAGTTTTTCATTTTTTTATATATATAACTGTGTCATATTGCACAAAAGGCATTTTTACTTTTTTGAGGGTTCACTACTTCTGGTCATGGTTGTGTGTTTTCATTGAGGTGCAGGACTTTATATTGCAGTGAAAAATGAGCCCACATTGATTATAAATGTGACAGTAGCAAAAAAAAAAAAAAACACCTAGAAACTGCCTGAGGTTCTTAGGGTTGAACACCTGATGATCATCTTCCCTAGCAGCACTATGTCTCTGTAGATTGGGCAGAACAGTAGCAGCTTCAGTCCTCTGTGTCTACAAACGATGCTTTCAGGCACAGTGTTGAGTGTAGGTCACCTGCGTTTTGGCAGCGCCCGGAACCCAACACACAATAACTGTATTTACGTGTGTAAACAGAGGCAAGTATGGCCTGTGTAGACAGCTGGATCCAGTAAAATAGGAGCGTACCTGTTCAGTGCGTGACTGAGCAACGCGGCTGAAGCGCCTGCTGTGTTAATGGGAGTTTTAATCCTCAATTCTGGTGACAGTTTCCTTTGTGAATGAAAATCTCATTACAGTTGTCTCTGAAAGTCTCCTATTCTGCTCCACAGTGTTCAAGGACAGCGAGCTAAGCTTTGGCCTCCTGTCAGACGAGAGACAATGTAATTGTTCTCTTCCCATTAAGTGAATGTGTCTTCATCAGTGTCAGCTACTATTAGATTTGGCCACACTTAACTTCATGCACTGTCACACAAAGAGGAAAGGGAGTGCGTGTGCAACTCGGGTGATGTAGTAGTGGCGGCAGTGTTGACGTGTGTGTGTGTGTGTGTGTGTGTGAGTTAGATTTTAACCCATGAGTGTAAACCAGGACTCTTTGGGGTAATTACACTTTAAATATTCAAATGCAGTAACATCAGTCGCTACCTGTGTGTTTCATTTGTCTTTTCTAACTTTTCTCTCACTAGCCTTCACCACTGACTGATACTGATACACTGACTGACCTTTGTCTGACTTGTGTTACGGATTGACTCTGCTCTATGAGCGTTTATCGGATTTCTGTGCTCTGTCAAAAAAAGTACACCAACCACAATCTACCCCACGCTGACCGATGTATATCTACAAACATAGCTCATGTAATTTCTGTATAAGCGAGAGAGAATTAAAGTAACATGATTTATTAATATCTACTAAACGCCTTTATCTTGTCTTCCTCTTTTTTTGCAGCGGTTACGGCGGTTATCAACCAAGTACCGGACAGAGAAGATCTACCCCACCAACGTAGGCGAGAGGGAGGAGAATGTCAAGAAGAACAGATATAAAGATATACTGCCATGTAAGTCCTAGTCCAACCACAAATGCACAGTCACATTGCACAGTTAAGCAGTATTTCCTTAGAGCAGACATTTTGATTAGTCAAAAACAGGTGTATCTAGTAACATACACAATGGCTGCTGGGAGTGCACAATTAGTCACATATTGAGCACCATCACAATCTTGGCTTTGCACGATTAAACATGGTCAGCTGTGATATTGACGTTTAAAATGTGTACACTGCTCATAGAAAGCAGTCCTTGTGGCTGAAAGAGCACGAGAACATGTTATTTCATTCTTCAAAGTAGTTTTTGGTCACACACTGGTCTGAGTTCTGTGCTGCAGTAACTGAGAGGAGACTAGAGGCTTCTCTGTGTACAGCAGACCAGCTACAGTCTGTTGTAGCCTTTATGTCAGTTGTTTAGAGACTATTGGTAAATTGTGTTGTCAGTAGATAAGCAGCTGTTTAGCACGTGAGGCACTTTGGGTGCAGTTTTATTTATGATTGACTCAAGAAGATGCACTAACTTCAGGTGAAGCAGAACCTTATTCACGTATTATTTGTGCATTTCCAGGAATGTAGCACAACATGCAAGTAAAGGCAGTGCTCTTTTTTAGGATAGAAAGGTGTAGGGGAAATATCTAATTGCTATTTTTTAAAATTATTTTGCAACTGTAATTCTTTTGCTATATTTTTTAAAAGTCAAGCTGCAGTGTAGTATTCACTGTGTAACACACTTAAGATGTGATGAAGCTTTGCCACATGAGAAACCATCAAAAGCACAAGTGTCACACAAGGAGATCAGCATGAATTTGTTCAACCTTCGACACCGTCAGTTTTAACAAGGGGTGGGAATCCCTGCATTTGTTCTAAAATACACCTTCAGCAATTTGCTAATTACAGTGTTTCAAATCTAGATTTTTTTTCATGTACAAAAGTAAACTAAAAAGTGTAGTCATGGTAAATATTAATAATAATCGTGATCTTAATGGTGTTTTTTCTTCTTAAATCATCAGGGGCCTTCTACTCAATCATCTCTGATTTGCATGAAACTTCTTTTTATCATCAACTATGCATATTTAAAACGGCATCTGTGAAATTTTAGATTGATGTCAAGTACTTTCTGAGATATTTTTTTAAATGCATGTTGACCCACTTACAGCACATTTTTTCGTGCAGTAAAATTTAAGGCTGTGTATGGTTGGCTCAGGAACTATTAAAAGACGAAAGACTTTTTCAACCCACCCTTAATTCAATTAAATTCAATTTAAATAACTTTAAAAAAGCTCAGAGTATTTTCTATAAATTATTTTTTTTTAAAAACCCACACATCATAAATAATAAGAGACTATTTGATCTATCCTGAAAACTATTTCATATTTCAATCCAATATTTCACACATATTGTTGTAATTAACCATATCTTATGCTATCGAAATTTTAGGCAAATCAGAGATGGTCGAACAGAAACTGTTAGGGTTTTAAATGAAGTGACCCAATGATCTTGATTATAATTTGCCAGTAATTGTGCAGTCCTAATGGCTTCATTACATTTAACTGTTGATGCGTGCTCACATGTACCGTGTACGGGCCACCCTGCATTTAACTGTAATTGATAATGACATTGACTGCACCTTTTGGCTGCATCTCTTGTTCACTTTAAACTTCAAATACAGGCAATGAAAAATACACTTACATGCTAGTTTATTGTATATACATTCAGCTTATTACAAAGGGTTGCAAGTAGCCATCGCTTTATATTTATAAACCCGGGGAAACACCGTCAGTATTACACTCCTTCCGCTAGATGTGCCTGATAATCTGCCCACTTAGTGTATAATTTATGCTGCTCATTATAACTCACACCACTACACTACAAGATATCGACCTTAAAAGAGCCTAGCGCTTGAGTGGGGACAAGCGACAGATCTGTAGGGGCGAACAGTATCACATTTCATGGTGTGGTATTGAAAACATATGTGTGAAATACCATCGAGCCTTTTCAACTCCTCAACCATGAAGCTCTTGATGATTTTGTTCCTCTGCTATTTTTTTGTTGCCATTTTATCTTCCGCGATGTACTTTGCAGCGCTGTAAGCCGATCCGCCAGCAACAAACAAATGTACACATTTAGATCGAAGCCAGATGTTATCAAGCGGCTTTCTGCTAGGCCAACTGTGTACATGCCAAATGTCCGCAGCTGATTCACAGTGATAATGTTACTGTGCTCCCATTAATGGTGACTGCCTGACCGTATAATCCATATGAAACCTTATGTCCTGCATGACGAGAAGCTTTAAAGGTCCCATATTGTGCCCCTTTTTAGCAAATTAATGAAAACCTCATGTTTCCGGAGCATGTCTTTCAAATTTTCAGCTCTAAATACTGCAAACATTATTCATTTCACCATGAATGTATAACCCCGCGGGTTCAGTCCTGTTCTAATCAGGCTCTTTTGGTGTCTCTCACTGTAAAAATCAGCTGAGCTTTCTATGTCCCCTTCAGGAAGAAAACCCTCAGTGTGTGCGTGATTGACAGCACAGAGCAAAACAGTTGACAGCATGGCAGCTCACTATGTCTTGTCTGCTTTCTGACAACAGGGGGGAAAAAAATGTAAATGAGAACATGTTTCTTTGGAATTAGGCCGTGTTAAAATGCATTCTATGTGAGCAAAGAGAGTAGGAGAAAAGATGTAAAGGAATGACACAGAAAAGTTGAAGCTGCACTGACGCACAGCAGGTTACATGAAAACACAGGAACTCACCCAGTCCTTATTTATTTATTTCAAATTAGAGTTAAAAAATGGTTTCCATCATTTCTGAATGTCATTCAGCTGATCAGTTTCCACAGAGCTCTGACCTGTAGCCATGTGATCAAAGCTAATGGTAATGTCAGCAGTAGTAATCCACTCGTCTTTAGTTCCTCAGATGCTGGGAGTGCATGAAAACTCTCACGTTCACACTTGCAGCCAACAGCACGACATTTGTTGTGTTTTGCTCGTGGCTGAGACACTTTAGAGTTACCAGAAGGAGCTCCAGAATGAAAACAAACCTGGTGGACCGAGAGGCAGCTGCTCATTCTAAATTACTTACCTCAGAAGCAACAGTCAGCGAAGGGGCAGGATTATGCAAATTTGGAGTTTAATGACTACTAGTTTGTCAGTTCCTTCTTAGAGACTGAATAAAATCCTGTTTGGCTTGTAAACCTCAGAGATCTGCTATTTGAGGGGGCTGGAGGAACAGCAGAAGGAAACATTTTTATATTCATCAAAACATTTCATACAAAACACAACAAAAATGGATGTTCACCACCTTTAGAACATCATGCATGTATCTGCTGTGTGCTAGAAAGACATACTTTCAATCAAAGGTGGTTTTTAAACACGTCACCTGTTATTGGTAAATTATAGACAGAATTTCTTTGGATTATCTGCTTAAATATGAAAATAATAATAAAAAAGCAGGATAGGATGTCGGTTAGAGGCCAGAGAGCTAGAAAATAACAGAAAAGAGAAAATTCCTCTTAAAAGCTAACACAAAATGCCATGTTTGTGGAAATATTTACACGCACATCTACAACAGACACAGCTTTTGGTATGTTGTGATAGTTCATGTAATGTCTCGGTCTCACACAGAGTTCTCTCTGTACTTAATGGCCTCAGGGGAAGATTACATGACCCAGCATCTGTCCTACTTTTTTATACCTTTATCCTCTTTCTCTCCTCTGTCCATCCGTCCATTCATTCATTAAGGCTTTTAGTGAATGAGATGCTGATAAGGCAAAGGAACTGGTTCATCCGTAACAGATGTGACCACACACACCATACACAAGAATGAGGATACTGCTGCGTCCATTAACCTCTGTCCTTCCTCGTTTTCACCCATGTCCTGGCATACCCTCTGATTTTCCCTTAATCTGTGGTAGTGATTCATTTTTCGCGTGCTTTTATTTTCCCCTTTGTCTCATCCCATTTCTCTGCTTATGAAAAGAAAATTTTTAAATAGATTAAATCTCTCTATTTCTCTTTTTTTCCTCCCCAGTTGACCACAGTAGGGTGAAGCTGGCATTAAAAACAACCAATCAGGACACAGATTACATCAATGCTAACTTCATCAAGGTAAACATTAAGTCACTTTGCTTTTGTTGTTTGTCAGAATGTGTTTGGATTCTTGTGTTTTGTGGAAAATTCCTATGGTATAAAGTTGTATGTGATCACTGTATGGTTTGGACATTGTTGTTTTACTTGTGATCATATTTTCTCTCTGTCTCTGTCCCGCCGCCTTTCCATCCAGGGTATGGATGGCCCAGAGGCCTACATTGCAACTCAGGGCCCACTGCCAAACACTGTCATCGACTTCTGGAGGATGAACTGGGAGTACAATGTAGCTGTGAGTACGGCTCATTAGATGGGGGGAAAGCAGCAGTGATGAATTGATAGAGGGGGATCTTCACTGCAAGTTTATATGAAACACTTGCATAAGCCGCACTCTCAATTTTGTGGGAGTTGTTTTTGATGTTCGACACTGATGTGGGCTCTGTGGATCAGTATAAAGCACAAAGAAAGGAAGGCGTTGACGAAGACAGCAGGACAAGCCAAACGTGATGGTTTTTTGTTGAAACTCTTAAATTGACTGTATGCTAATCACAATGAAAAATAAACCACAATATCTGCTTTTCTTTTTTCAAATACACACATTTACACAAAGGTTTTCATAGTGGATGCTGTAAGAACTTGGTGGTGATGTGGTCGCGAGTAGGTGACGAGATCTGCTGCATCCACAGATTGCGATTATCAGAAAAAGCAAAGGAAACACCTTCACATTATTTTCATGAATATTCATGTTGTCTTTTTTTAGCTTTAGGCGAAGCATGTGTGTGCAGAGGTGTTGATAAGGGTGTCGTAAAAAGCGTCACTGTTCGGCGCCTAAATAAAGTTTTAATAATTGTAAAAAGTAGAACTGTAATAATTAAGATAAATATTTAATATGATCGTCAGTAATTTAGAGGCAGATGGGGAGTGCTTATGCTCGAGCCAGATGGACAAATATGAGAAGAGGGAGGGAGCTGTGATGAGGTTTAACTATCACTCTGAAAAGCTTGAAATTGCAGCCGTGATAATTGCTCCTGTAGGATCAAAGGGAATGACCCCAGATACCGCTGTAATGTCAAGCATGATCAAAAATGATGTGAGCTCTGCTTCTGCTGCTCTACGAAGGGGAAAGCATTGAGGTTTTTCGGACTCTTTAGGAGACTCCGCTGAATCTCTGGTGCACATTTTGGAACCTACTGCATTACATAAATAGAAGATGTAGGAATGCACAAAACTGCGTTTGAAGAGAAGTAAGATTTAGCTTTGAGTGTAAATATTGATTGTAATTCTTCTTGTTTGTGTCTGCAGGTTATTGTAATGGCCTGTCGAGAGTTTGAGATGGGAAGGGTAAGTTTGTTGTTTGTGTGTCAGTCCATGTAAAGAGTACGTATGTGCTCGAGTGTGTCTGTACATCTGTGTTTTGTTATCTCCGCCAAGGTTACAGTCTACTTTCTCCTCCATCTGTTGGTTTGTTTATTGGAATATCTGATTGTTCGTGTCGTGTTGCAATAATGCCACAATGTGCACAATTGTTCAGCCTTGGTGGAGGTATCGGTAGAACTTTAGCTGTTTTTCTTGCCTGAGTGTGTCTTTGTGAAAATAAAGCTACGGTGATCACTAGTTACTGAAGCCTGGATCAATTTGCATTGATCCAAGCTTTTTGTTGTTTTAGTTCACTGAAGTAACAATAGTGTGACTGACAGTTCACAGAGCTCCTTATATATACCTTCAAATGTGGTATGTGCATGTATTTAGACACGCTCTTATTGGTCATTGTGTGTGTTCTACATGTCACGTTAATTGTTTATTTCAAACCAGAAAGTGTGTGTGCAGGAAGCTGTGGTATCTCTCAGGCATTTTCCTCTCAGCCCAAGCTAACTTCTGTTCTTCTCTGGTTAGAAAAAGTGTGAGCGGTATTTCCCGCTGCTCAGGGAGGAGCCCATGAGTTTTGGCCCTTTTCGAATCTCCTGTGTAAGTAGACAAATCTGTAGTATTACAGCTGTGTGTGTCTTTAAAAAAAAAAAGGTGTGTGGGGGGCCTGTGGCTTGTCCACATTTTGTTCTGGTGCATGTGTGAGTTGAGTATTGTGTAAATGTTTTTCTTGTCTTCGTTTTCTAGGAATCAGAACAGACCAGAACAGACTACTATATCAGGACGTTGGTGGTGCAGCATGAAAATGTAAGTTCTCTTAGTAATTGCTTATTCTGTTCTTTATAAGCGCATTAAAACGTTTGTTTTTTTTTTTTTTTGGTCAATGCTGGGACCGTTTACTACTCTAAAACAACAATTATATTATTATTAGTTTTTAAATAATGATAGGCAGTGTATCACAAATTGACACATTTTTGCAAAATTGCAGAGAAATACCGATTAGTGTCTAAAAAATGACGTGTTTCATTAATTGTAATAAATTACATGAGCTTTTTTTTTGTTCATGTCACAGCTATAAAATGCCAGTAAAAGTTAATTACCAACAATTTTGAAATACTGTACACATATCAGTTAGAGCAGCCCAGTTCACTGAATATTCATCTCAGTCACAACTTTGGAATTTAATTTAGGGACCATAGTTGTTATTTTGATGCAAAGATTTGTACATAAACACTGATATAACACAGAAAGGAAGGTAAAACAGAGCTTAGTTTATTTAAATGTGAACCTGAAATGAACATATTTTGTCCCTCAAATCAATGATCAATCGTGATAAAAATTTCACGTCTTGTGACAGTAGTTGTGCATTCAGTCTCACACTCGTCACCACCAGGCCAGCTGATTCAGTTTCAGCCTTCAACTGAGCCTCCTCTTCTAAAGTTGTCCTCGTGTGCTTGCAGGAAACTCGGAGGATAACTCAATTCCATTATATCAACTGGCCGGATCACGACGTCCCGTCATCATTCGACTCCATACTGGACATGATCGGACTAATGCGAGAATACCAGGAGAATGACGATGTCCCTATCTGTGTGCACTGCAGGTAAGTGTATAAATGCTGCCACCATGAATACGCCCAAGAAGGATCATACTGTAACTAAGGCAACAAAAAGGAGGCAGATTACAGATGAAAAAATAAAAGAATAAAACAGACACTGTGTTCCATATATATACACACACACATATCATGGAATGTCATACTGAAATGAATGATTCTGACTTGTGCTCTTGAATTGATCTGAATAATTCATGAGATCGTCAGTGATTTTTGCTGTGAGGAGGCAGCGTGAAGACTCCTGGTAAAAGCAGGATTTACGCTTCAAATTAAACAGATGTACACACATCTACATGTTTTGTTTGGTAATTAATCGTTTCACTTGATTAATCTTGTTAAAAATGTGCAGATATTGATTAATGCAGGATAATTAGCTACTTTAGACGCAACCACATGAGCCACTTTTTTTCTCCTAAATGCTGCCGCTGACTGCATGAATCCAAAATAGCCACAAACTGATGCAACATGCGAGCTTTCATAAACAAAGACGTAATCACCAGATTGATTTTAGGGGGATAGAGCTCTATGTGTCAAACTGTAAGTTAGTTTAAAATCAGCAACATTCATTTCATATTCATATAGGCTGTGCTTCTCTAACTGAAGTTACAGCATTAAAGGCTAAGAATGTAAATATTATAAATCCATGCAAAAAAACGGAAATCTTAGCTGCCTCACACATGATTTTTATTAACAAAAGAAGCAGTGAATGGCTGTATTGTTAACTTAAATAAAAACAAAAAAAGCACATTGAATCACAAGGCGGCTATAGATTGAGGTTCTCTGCAGCACACATGCATGGGCGTACACGCAGCGCACACACTTTGTCTCCATGTGTGTGTAATCAGCTATAATGAGCAGCCCGAGGACATTTCCCGGTTCCTCTGTTACACAGCAGGACTTAAAGCTGTGTCTCTGCGTCTGTAAAGATGCTTTGTGTGGGTTGATGTGTGCGGAGAGACTGTGCTCTTTAGAGTAGCAGAGACAGCATGAGATCGACTTTATGATTTCATGTGTCTGACGTGATCAGCTTCCGTGTAGCTCCTGTCTCCTTCCTGTCTGGACGAGGTGTTGTTGCGTACAAACATACATGCAGTTTTTTTGTTTTTTCCCCTCTGCACATATTCCCTCTTTATAACCAGATCCCACTAAGTAGTACAAATCCAGAGCTGGTATTTGTGAACATGTTTCTCAGTGGATTTGTCTTCGCGATGCTACACTGAAAGCTCAAGTGTGTGTTTTTGTGTCTTTACACGTGTCTCCCTTAATCTAAATGGTATTGCTGTGACTGTACAGTGCAGGCTGTGGGAGGACGGGTGCTATCTGTGCTATCGACTACACATGGAACCTCCTCAAAGCTGGGGTATGTGAACACTCACACACACACATACCTGTACAAACACACTCTCTCTTTACACTGTAAATGTTTTGTTTTGAAGTTCACTGAGCAAAGTCCATGATTTAACTTGATGTACAAGTCAAGTGAAAGCTAACTTTAATACTCTTATGTGCCTCTTTCAAAGAAAATACCAGAAGATTTTAATGTTTTCCGGTTGATCCAAGAGATGAGGACACAACGGCACTCTGCAGTTCAAACAAAGGTTTGTTGTGATAGCTTTCATTTGTCTTTTCATTTACACACACCGACTGTTTTTGTGTACAGATCGTTCATCTTGTTAATAATTCCATACAGTGCAGCACTTATGGAAACATTCATTTCAGACATTGACTCACTTCCGCTAATTGAACCACATCTAAACGTGCTGGTTTCATGTCTGAAGGATCACTTCTGTGTTAACCCTCTGATCCTCAAACAGCGTCTGGGATTTTTTTTGGTTTCTGTCACATTTTTGCTCACTGGAGGCTCATTTTTCACTGCAATATAAAGTCCTGCACCTCTATGGAAACAGCACAATCATGGCTACAAGGAGAGAGTCGAATTTCTTTGATTATTTATTTTGCAAAAATTGGAAAAACCTGGACTTAACATGTACAAAATTTTCCCAAATGCCTACAAGTGTTACCAATGCCCAAAAAAATAAAATAAAAATGAAAAATGGCTGTGTCCACATACTAAAGACATTTTACTACTTACGTTTTTTTATTTGTTTCCATAATTGTCTCCTATCCGCTCTGTGTAAACACAGGCTGCAGTTCAAGTCAGTGCAGCCGCAAAGTCCCTGAATTTTTGTGACATTACGGGTGGATACAGCTGAATCACCAGTGGCTTTAAAGCTGTGCCAAGACCAAGACTTTTTTTTTTTTTTAAATAGAATCTGTTTGTAGCATTTTTGGGCACATTTTTAACACGACTGTAGAAACTATGGAATACAGTGACTTTGATAAAACATTAGGATTTTAAGCTCAGATTTTTATATGCTTTTCAACAGGATGGTACATCACAGAGAGCTGGTCTTTGGGGTTCAGAGGGTTAAAGTTATTGCTTTTTCTTATTGAAAATTTGTCTGAGTCACAGTAACGCTGTTGTAGAGATTAGATCAACATCCTCTCCTTTATGCAGCCTGCGGCACGTCTCTTCGTTCATTCTTGTATTACGTGCTGCAGACCTGGTTGAAAATGGATCTTCTCTGCTCACACATTCTCACCATTATTTCTAACTGGTTAAGGTTGTTTTGCCACAATTTTGACATGGGTGTGTTTACATGTTTCACATGGAGCTTCATCTGCTGGACACAATTTACAATTTACGGTCTTATTTGTACCTTTACTGGAGGATACTTAGTATAATGTGCATGTTTCGACTAGCAATGCAGCCATCCTCTCTGCCATTCTCTACCAGAAGTTTGATGTCATCTTCTGACATTGAGAGTGAAATGTCAGTTTTAGCATTGCCTTGGCAGACTTTGACACAGGTTTTATTTTTTAAATCTCAGACCTGCACCCAGCAAGAAGCCTGTAACTATAAAGTAGTTGGAAAATAGTTAAATACACTTACAACCTTCCCAGGGAAAGTAATGGGATTGAATCAGAGTGCATCAGTGAAGGTCCTTCTGTTGTTTTCAAACAGGTTGTTTGATATGGAGAATGTGTTTGCTTCTGTATTGATTTGCTGAAATCCTTCCTCTGCTTCTTCTCTATCTCCTTCACCCCACCTCTTTTTAATTTAACCCCACTGTTTGACTTTGTGCAACACTTTATCCTCTCCCTCCTCTGCCTCATTATGACTTTCTCATCTTCTTTATCTTTGTCTTTCCAGGAGCAGTATGAGTTAGTTCACAGAGCAATCGCTCAGCTTTTTCAAAAACAACTGCAGCTACTGGAGAGTCCCACCAACACGCAGATACACGATGGCATGGTATGACACACACACATTGTGTATGCTGTCTGATGTTAAAGAAAGACAGGATGTCGCTGAGTAACGCACTCGGAGTGGGAAAAAAAAAACACAAATAATTAGTCACAGGGGGAAAGAGGGTAGGAGGAATAGTGGAAAGTGAGTAGAGGCCTTCTGAAAACTTTGCTCTTTACACAGGCAGAAAGAGAGGAGTTACAGTGATGGTGCCAAAAAAGTAAGAGATCTCTCCTCCACGGGGAAGTCTCTGAGGACTGCAGACAGTTAGACCTATTTAAAAGAGCGAGAAATAAAGCTTTGCTCTGTCAGTCACCGCTATCCTCCATTGCACCCTCATACAAACACACGCACTGTATACAACGTGTCCTGAATTGTCCCTGATCCTCCTCCGTTTGCACTAAAAGTCCAACCAAGCCAACAAGGTTACTCATATGACTTAAAGAACACATGTAGAAAACAAAAGAGGCAATTAACATCTTTTTCTCTGTTACTGTAATTTTAAATGCACCTGAATTATGTACAATTTCTTGAACTGCAGTCCGGTTTTGTAATATTGTTACAGATATATTAAAAAACATATAGGTCGACCGGCAGACGGACAGTTTATTTATCCTCAAGGAAGAGAATATGTTCCATAGTGTATACGTAACACAGACGTGTAAAACATGCAGATGTATACAGAGTCTTACGGGGAATCTTAATTTCTCACAGAGATACACGCTACTCACCTGGTAATAGATGATTACTGATCCATAGGTGCTTCTCTTCATCCCACATCATCATGTATTAGTCTCAGATAGACAGAGGCGCCTCTTCATTTAGATTGTTAAACTACAAAAACACGACACTTACTACTAGAAAAAGTAGCAGAACACATTAAAGCTATTACACATTAAGTATTACAAGTAGAAGCTACTTTAATATAATCAATGGATATAAGAAATTTGTTGACAGTATGGACAGGTAGCAGACCAGCTTTCTGTTTCCTCTTTTTGAGACAGGATGACTGTTGATCTTCGTCTCTGTACCGTCAGTACGCCTGAATGAATCAGAAGATGTGAAGCGATAGGGGGCTAATTTGACCAAGCATATGATCTCTTTCTGGGCTGATTCGCTCCTGTCACATTTACTGCATTAAAAAAAAAGTCCTGCACCTCTATGAAAACAGCACAACTAGGCTACAAGTAGAGAGAGCTCAAAAATGTCTTATGTGTAGGATCACAAAAAAATAGAATGTCGTAGTTCATAAAACCAGTTTACAAAAATTGACATAGTCCAGAATCCACATTTTACCAAGTGTCCTGACATGTTCTTACTACTGGAAAGGATTTGGTAACTCCTCAAACTATATATATTTTAATGTTTAGATTTAACATTTGTTTCCATACTTATCTCCTATCTGCTCTGTTGAACACAGCCTGCAGTTCAGCCCAGTTCATCCACACTGTTGCTGAACTTTTGTCATGTGACTGTAGGTCTGAGCTGAGTCACTAGTGGCCTCACAGTTCCCTCAAGGAGCAAGTAAATTTTTTTCACAGGTTTTTAGAATAAAATGTGACATGTAGAACAAAAGGATTTTGATGAAATATCACAATTTGTTCAATTTTCATAACAGAACCAAAAGTGACACAATTAGTATTAGAAAGGTGAAAATCTGATGACTTATTACAGTTTCTTACTCTGATAAACGGTGTACTTTTGGTGCTTTTTGGAAAGACAGTATGTCTTTTATAGCCACCAGTGGGTTCAGAGGGTTAATCTTATAGAAAAATGTAAATAGTGCAATGCAGCGTTTGGTTTCACTGCCTCGCTGCTTAATGAAAAAATTAGCTTGCAAGGAAACATTAGATGATTTTAAAAATAGCTCCTCTTCCCAACTGCTACAGGAAAATGTAGTTGAACTAGTAGTGCCGGTACTCCCCGACACCGTTCTGAAGATAAGTGTGGATAAAAGAGAGACAGGCCACGAGTGTGGAAATCCAAAGACAGAGGACACAGAGAGACCATGAGCGAGAGCGCTGGCAGCAATCCAGGAGCCGACTTCCTGCTTAGGAAGCTCTGATGACATCACCCTTCTCCCATAATGCACTTTGAGTCTGAGAATAGACATGCATCCGTTGGGAAAGGGGGACCCTTGCAAGACAAAGTCACACGAACACACGCAACTGTTTTTTACATCAGAAAGGCCTCAGCTGACACACTTTCTGAAGGGGACAGACCAGGCCGCTGTAGTTAGAAACTAGCAGGCTTGTTTTATAGTCGGTGCTATTAATCATTCGTTAGGAGAAGGTGCGGCCAGAAGGACAGCAGCTCCAGTATGAGTTTGTTGCTACTGTTTATAACTTCATCTCGCAAAGTTGCAAGTCCAGGAAGAATACTACACTCACACACAGCAAATCATTATCAGCGCGTTGTACTGACTCAGTTCATACACACATTGACTCATGTCCAGTCAGCCATTGTTAGTGACTAAAACACCCACATAGGTGCTCTCAATGGCAGGACGAACAATAAGCCTACACATACACACAACCCACACACGTTTCTCTGCTCCCTCGCAGACGCCATAGTTTGCAGGAAGCATTCCTACCAAACAGATTCTCACAACATACATCAACGTACACAAAGAGCCAAAGAAACCGCGTTCAGATCCTGTTTTTACATCCTCGGCAGACTAATGCTCAAAGAGCTGAAGTGGCCCGATTTGCCCTCTTGTCATGAGTTTATGACGACTGAAGTTGTCTTGTCATCTTCTCATTATCTGACTGGAGAGAGAGTCAAATTAATGAGGCTCAGTGGAAGAGGGGGAGAGGAGGAGGAAGACGAGAGCTGAGAGGAAAAGAGAGAACAGTAAGAGGAGGAGTGCTTCTTTCAGAAACAATTTTGATCCTTTAGTGAAGCAATTTTGCAGCAACTCGCTACGTGTGCTCTAGAGACATCTCGGAGAGAGGAAAAAAAAAAAGAGTAGAGAGGACTTAGAGAAAGAAGTGCTTTACATTTCAACAGAAAGTCTATAAACACAGCATATCCTGTGACAATGGAAGTCAAACGTACTCGCATGTCTTAAAATCAGTGACGGAAAAAGCAGTAAATTTTGATTCCTAAAATATTTAACAGGCAGATAAATGTCAAGCACAGAAGAGGTATTTCAGTGCTTCAGGAAATGTTTGTAATTACTTTCCCTCAAGATAGTTACGTGACATGTTTGACGAATGAGCATCCCTTTGTGGAAAATTTCAAACAGGTTGGGCAACAAGTTTGAAAATTTAGATGAAAGCTGAATATGGTGCAACTATTAAGTAATTAAAAAGCCATTATGCTGTTGTTAGCATTTAGTCACTCCACGTGAGCGCTGAAGTGTAAACTGCATTTTCACTGGCATCACAATACGCACAATGATGACATCAAAAGTCATTCCATCTACATGCGCCACACATTCACACTCCACACATGGAGCTGTGGATACACGGGCCATACAGCAACACCACTAGCTAATCTGATCAAGCCCCAGCTAGCCACGGAGAAGGAAAAAAAGAGAAAAGAACAGAGCGAAGGAAATGTCAAGTGATATTTTTGTTGAGTTAAGGAGAAGCTATTTTAAAGAGAAAATTAAACTTTAATTTATTAGAGATATGTTTTATTTAAATGAAATTCCGCTTCATTCGTCGGGTATTCATGTGCCATTTGTTTAATTAAAACATGTTGAAATAATTTATTTCTTAGACTGCTTAGTGTTTGGAATCTATGTTAGAAGTGTGTGTATTAAAGCAGAAAGACTTTGGAACTACTCCGCTAACACGCTGCAATATTTATTTAGAACAAGTGTTATTGTCATTACATCATTTAACAATATATATATGTGCACTTTGCAGTTTTTCCTCCTATCATTCAGGCCTACTTCATATTTTTTTTCCTCTTTGTGTGTCTCCAGGATGAAAGCAGTCCAGACAAAGCAAGCCACCAGTCAGATGATGAGAGATGGGACACTCCACCTCCAAAACCTCCTCGCATACGCAGGTAAAACAAGCTCCATGTTTGGGCAGTTTGGCTGAGACGATTTTCAGTCACTGTATCTGCAAGTATCTGTCAGGCTGTTGTCGTCTGTTTTGTTCAAGTTGTTTGGCTTCAGTAAGTGCCACAGAGGTGCAGTATACAACAATAACACAATATGCAATATCGCTTAAATGTAAAAATGGTTCAAAATTATATCACCTCACACTCATGGCACTACTTTGAAATCGATCAGTAGTGTTTCTGCTCTTACCCACAGTCGAAACTCAATACAGTAAAAGTCACCACACCTTTCATCAGTGAGATTCAAGTATTTTTTTCCTATGTTCACCTTTATTACCGATGACAGATTCAATCCTCCTCAGCATGGGTGATACCAATGTTGCACAAATTTCCGGAGGGATGTTCTGTCCTTCTTTGGAGGTTATTTCTTTCAGCTGCTCTTTGCTGCCGGAGGTGTGTTGCTCCGCCTCTCTCTGTAAAATAACCCACAGGTGCTCTGTTGGATTGAAGTCAGGCAACATACTTGTCTAGGTCAAAGTTTTAACAGGTGTTCGTTGTGTATCTATAAATGTCATCTCCCCAACACCTACTTCCCTTACGTAGCTACATATCTTCAGACTCCCACCTCTGTGCTTCACTGTCAGCACAATGCATTCACTGTGGTCATCCTGGCCAAACATGCTGGACTACATCTGAGCCAAACTATTTTATCTTCGTCTCATGAACAAAGAATGCGCTCACAATATTCTTCAGGCTTCTTTTTCTTGTTATTTAACACAATTTAGGATTGCAGCTTTGTACCAAAAGGCAAGCAAAGGTGTTATTCGTGTGTGTCGCCCATAGAGACTGGCATTAAGCACTGTCATTTGTACTTTCTGAGCTGCCAGATTTCCACTGATAACCACAGTGGCGAGTCTGAAGCAATAGCTTATCTTTTTGTTTTTAGATCTAGATTGCAAAACTAGTGCACTGCTTGTGGCATCAGGACAACCACTGCAGCTCTGATTAGTGGCACTGTGGCCTGTTCTATACCTCCTAATTACTACTGTAACTGTTTTTTTAATTAGAAGAATTAGAATAAAACTTTATTAGAATAAAACTTTATTGATCCCTTCGGTACAAGACCTCAGGGAAATTGCTAAGTTGCTCACACATTTTCTTGCTCCCTTTTCCGCCTTTGCGAGGTTGTCTGGCCGATTCAATTTTGAATCATTTGACATTTAAGTGATATTGCACAGGGGTGTACTTCCTTCTCTGGCAGAAAAATAAGCTGATTCTCCACACAGATGAATTAACAGGCTCACCCAGGGGTGAGTAGTGGGAGTGAGGTGGCCCATAACTGCACACAGCGGGTGTTGTGGTTTGTAGGAGGAACTCAAAAAAGAATTACAACACAACCGTTTGCGTGGAGCACACAATGAAAACATATTAAACTGACCAAACAAAAGCAGCAGGCGCAGTTTTCACCTCAAGCGAGCCAGAGTTTTCTGACACAATAGTTCCTTGTCAGCCCACAGATACAGCCGGCCTCCACTTTGCCGAAGTTAACTTCAGTTTGGCTGTTAACAACTGCCTGAGGAGGAGCTGTATTTATAGATCATTTTGCAACACTTTGCAATACTTTGCAACACCATATAGTGTTGAACGCACCACATCCCTAGGCTAGTTGAAGGAGAACTGTAGCATGTTTCATCTTCCCCTCTTTGAGAACAAATACAGTCTTTTATGCGCATGCAGGCATATTATTTCAAACACACATACACACCCACCCTTTATCTGTTACAAAAACACATATATGTCCCACTGTTTTGCTCTGTAACTCATTCTTTGATATATTTTCTGTTTTCCCACTCCTCATTGTGTTCCTGTCTTCTTGCTTCCCTCTGCTCTCTTTCCTCCCTCTCCTCTCATTTTTAATTTTGCTGTGTAGTATGTGCCCAGCAGGCGTTATGCTCTACTTTCTCTAAGCCAGTTCATCTTCAGTCCCTCTTTCCTTCTTCCTTCAGTAGACAAGGCCCTCTCCCTATTAACACAGCAATATATACACTTTACAACTTTTTAACAAGGTTCATTGATGCCTCAGAGTCGCCTCAGTACTGACGCTTTAATGTCACGGGGGACATCTTGTTGCCAGGAGACACTGTCTCACTTAATTACCTGTTGCCTGAAGCATTGTGTAAAAATGCCCAGTTTGACAGCATTTTGTGTGCTAATGTGCTCTGTAATTATCCATGTGATTACATTTAGGATGACAAGAAAAAGTTAGTAAACCTTTTCGACTGACCTTCCTTTTTTTTTGTGTAAATTTGACCGATAAGATTTTTAGTTAATTTACCATTATCAACCAGCACAAGCTATTGTAACGCATAACACAAATTATTGTGTTCTTCTAGTCTGTGTAGAAAACATCATTCAAACATTCACAGCGTAGGTTGAAAAAAGTATATGAACACTGAACAATCCCCCCCCCAGGCTAATGTTATCGACATTTCATCAAGTTAATTGGAGTCAGTAGTTAGCAACCTGGAATCCAATCAATAAAACAGGATCAGAGGTGTTTGTTAGAGCCACTTTGACCCATAAAACAAATACTCATCTGCAGCTTGCAAAAAGGAAATCTCAGAGGATTTACCATCAACAATCATTGATGAGCATCAAGCTGGTAAGGTTTAGAAAGTTTTCTTTAAGAGTGAGTTAAGACATTTATTAGTGCACAGTTAGAAAAACTGTCTATTATGGAGTTGATTTAGTGCTGTCTCACTAGAAGTGGTTGCCTAGCTAAGACTCTAAAGGGGTCCAAAAGCAGAATGCTGTTAAAAAAGGGCCCCACAGTAACAGCTAAAGGCATAAAGGAAATCAATGGAGCTGATTATCATCTCTGTTCATGAATGTACTGTACATAAATTATGAAACAGACACGTCCAAGGCTGAGGTGTGGTGGTGGCAGCATCATGACTTGGGACTGCTGCCTCTGGCCATGGACAGTTTGTCATCATCAGTGGGAAAATACATTTTAACAAGGTATCACTGGAGGTTGACTGGGACCAAAGACTGTAAACAATAAAGTTATTCTACTATGGATGACTTCAAACAAAGACAATCTGCCCTTTGGAGTGGCACCATCAGACCCAAAACCTTAGAACAATAGACAGACAGTACTGAGTGACCTCAAGAGAGCTGTTCTCATCAGACATGTGAATGAACTGTCTGAGCTGAGTACAAAAAGGTCAAATACACACAAAAAGAACAAAAACACAAAAGCTATTCATTTCTTTGACATGTTCAGTAGGTAATTCTTTTATCTCTTTGTTGACATGTAAACATTATTCACTTTTTCCTCGAGTTAGCTGCTTTATCTCATGTATTTCATTGACAATTTTCAACTATTGATCTTGTGTTGGTGGTTTTGTCTAGTACAGGCTCTTCAGGATGTGCTTTTTTAAAAGTGCCAACTGGATTTTTATCAAATACTCACACTGAAGCTGTTCCATAAGAAAGACTTGACCCGAGTTCCTCCTGAACATTGTCAAAGTCTGATCTGCACCTCCTGTAAACACGTTTTTGAGGTTGTTGCATTTGCAGGAGCCAACATGTCCTTTTTTGTATTCTCTAGCTGCTCTAAAATTACCATGCTCTTGGTTTCCTTAATTTGTCTGTTGTACCAGTCGGTTTGATGGGAAAGCAAACATTTTTCAGAGGTCCTAATTTTAGGAGGTAGCTGCAAGTGATCTGTTTACTGAGCAGTTCCTTTTCTGTTCATAGTAAAACATACAAATTTGAACTTGGTAATGCTGCCAAAATAAGAAGCTTTCCTGGAAGTGGGGCAGAGCAGACGGTCAGGAATATATGAGTGTTTCTCTCTCGCCACTTGTCTTACTCTAACTCTGTCTCGGTATGCGTCTGTCTTTGTCTGCGTCATCCCTCTGTCTCTAAAGAAATAATGTCAAGGCCTAGTTTAAGCCTGAGAGTACTCTAGTGATGGTGAGAGCTATTTTTAACAACATAGTCCACATTCTGCCGGCCACACTCCCAATGGGTGAGTTCAGCGGTTTACGTCTGTGCAGAGGAAATTCTGTTTGCTAGAGGTGGAGGGAGACACTGCAGGGAGTCCAGGGACGCTGGCATCAAGGCTACAAATACTGAGTCATGGGTTCTGCTCATACACAGCAGCATGTTCTGCCATTAGGGCTGGATGTCAAACCTCATTACTTCTTGGGCTCTGACTGAAATGTGCCTGTCGCATCTTGATTATGAAAACTGTCAGGTCTTGAAATTAGCATTGGTGCTGCCATTTAATCAGCTAATGCTTATTACAGAACTTCACGCTCTGAGACTCAAACTAGCTGGCATGTTATCTTTAAAACGTTACCATATATAGACTGTAAAAACAGAGAGAGTTGTCGGATTTTTCACTTTCCAAAGGAAAATGAACAAAATCAGAGCAAAAAATTGTGCCATTTCCTTTATTCTACTTGTCTTGTAAAAATTCAGAAAGCATTTGCACCCATCAGATTCTGTACCAAACAAAATATCTGTGACAAAATTTCTAAGACTTTGCAGCTGAACTGCAGGCTATGTACACTGTGCAGACAGGAGATGAATATGGAAACAAATTAAAAACTTAAGTGGTCAAAACATCTATAATATTAGAGCCACCATGCTTTTTTGCAGTGTTAGTAACACTTGTGGACTCGTGAAGAAATGATGTACACACAAGTAATTGAAGAAGTTCAGCTTTCATTGTTTTTTTTTAATGGTTTGTGTCATTGTAACTTTTATATATTGCAAATTAAGAGTTTTTTTTTTTTTAATTCCCTCTGCTTCCAGTCATGGTTGTGCCGTTTACATCCAGGTGCAGGATTTTGAATAGCAGTGAAAAATGAGCCCACAGTGAATAAAAATGTCCAAACTGTCCAGACACTGCTTGAGGTTTGGAGAGTTAGTACAGTTCCCAGTGAAAACATCTTGGAAAAGTTTGGGAAATAGACGATAAAAGAACCATTCAAGGAAAAACATGACAAAATAGGATTTGAATTACATTAAAATTAGCCCTCCTAACAGATTTCTGTTTTCTCTGCAGCATCTCGTTGCTGTAAAAGAGAGATAAGCGAGTGTGACAGGTGGACTTAACCTGCTCTCAGTGAGGCAGCTCTAACTGTCCAGGTGCAGTGGATGTCCTTCAGCTTCTGTACTCCTGCAAAGAATCGTCCACCTAAACTGTGATTAATAATGATTAGGCTATTAATTATAGCCTCAATAAATATTGGGGTATAAATATTAACAAGGCATGCATGAATAAATTCTAGAGGTGCTTTTTAAGTGCTGCTCCGTCTGATTTAGCTGATATTTAGATTTTGACTAATCTACCTGAGGCTTTACTGTTGGTAAACTGGTACAGCCGTGTTGAAACAACTTTACAGATCTTGTTGCTGCTGCCAGGTTCTTAATTCTTATCAATCCTAAACAGTCACGCTAGCTCATCATCATCTAATCCTGCGGGCAGAAGCACATACGTGCTCGCGAAGCCGTGTAAATCTGTGCGGTTTGAGTGTGCTACTTTTCTTGGTCGTCAATGTGAAACAATCCTCAGCACAAACCGAAACCAGGAAGCCTCTCTCTCTAAGCTTCCCTCTCCGCCTCCTGTGACTGCACGCAGGTCCTACTGTGATTAAAAATGCAGCATCTTCCCTGAGGACTGCATATGTGGAGGCCAGAGTGCAGTTGTTGTGTGAATGTTTGAGTTTGTGCTTTTTATTTATGAGTGTGGGTGATGCTATTACATAAATTTTAAGCTCTGGAGAAGGCATGTTTGTGTGTGGGAGTGTAGGTTGTACATGGGTGCTTAATGCTGGTGAGCTCCAGTGTGTCACCAGTATGTCATAATGGGACGGATGGCTGAGAACTGGTCATATTTTTGTCCATTTGAGCCCATCCATATTCGTCTGTTGCACAAGACGTGGACAACTTTTATTTATTTGTTTGGCAAGTAGATGGAGTCGTGTTATAAAGTAGTTTTAAAAAAAAGAAAAACACTAGTAGTAGAGTCCGCCTGATAAATTGTTCAGCCAGTACTGGCCTATCGCAGATCTGTTGCTATAGGTGCATATGTTGTCATAATCGATATGCACAGATATTATTTTCTTTTCTTTTTTTCCTACACAGAACATAATACAGAAAAGGACACTAGAAATAATTTTAAAATGCTTCCATCTTGTTGTTTGTTCAGCACTCGGCATTGTCTGCAGCACATGTAGCAGAGCATGCATCAGAGCGGGGAAGCCTGGTGCAGAGTCAAGCAGTGTTTTCATACTAAGTTGCTAACCAGTTTGTGAAATACTTGGCTGAAAAGTTAATAAACAATATCTAATCTTCCTGGATTCAAATTACCCCAACATCCTATATGTATATATACAAAGCATTCCACTTAAAATTGGTATTGGCGTCAGCCCCAGAAGCCCAGTATCAGTGGGGCTCTTACTGTTCCTACTTCATTCACTTGATGTAAACTCTTAGTGTTGTAATCCACATATACATTTCATCACACGTGCTGCAATTCTCAGGCTGTTCTTTGCCCGCAGCCTCCGCTTCCTTTATTCTCGATTGATACTGCTTGTTTGTTTTGCTCTGACTTAGTAGTGTTTGCTCCTGTAACAGCTCATCCTCCCCCTAGGAGTCATTAAAGTTTTATTTTAACTTATTTTTATATAACCTAAATATTCTCTGTGGCATCTGAACGATTCTAATCCCCATGGCAACAATCAGCACCAATGGGAATCATCTGCGTTATTGTTATATTTATCTTTTGCTTGCTCAGGCAACAAAGATGATATAGAAGGATACATTCTCATGGGTAATTAGTGTTTTTCATCAAAGAAAACAAAGGGATATTGGTGTTCTTGTTCAAGTAATGTTTGGCCCAGAGGCCAGAAATTGCCAACAAGTGACTTCTAAGAGACAACTGGAGGATCTGGTGTTCAGAAAAACGTTGCTGTAGCTGTTTGGATTCAAGCTTCATCTCAAATGCAGAACGGTTCTCCAGCTAATAGAGTCCTGGGATCTCCCTTCTGGGAATAATCACAAAAGTTACTAAAAAAAGTTCCTGTATTTATCAGATAATCCTCTGAGCCTTTTTGCTCACTTTGGACTAATTGTTCACTATAATATAAAGTCCTGCTCCTCTGTGGAAACAGCACAACCATGAGTGGAAGAGAACTGTAGCATCTCTTTTAAGCAGATTAGAATGTTACAGATAATGGAAAAAAGAAGAAAAGTTGAATTTCTTTGAATATTTATTCCTTTAAAATGGGCAAAAAATGGAATCAGTGATTTACAAGTGCTGACAAATGCTGTGACTCTACCTCCCATAGATATTTTACTGCTGACGTTGTGTCCGTACTTGTCTACCTGCTTTATGAAAACGCAGCCACTGCAGCCAAACACTGTCAGAATTTTTGTATCATGACTGTTGGACACAGCTGAGTCACTGAGAGCGTCATAGCTGTGCCGAGGAGCACAGAATCTTAGAACAACTTGTTTTGTTTTTACAAAATCCCGATTCGGAGGAAAAATCACATTTTTAAGCTTTAATCTGGTTAACTTTCCTGATAATATCAAAAATTACTCACCATCAGTTCAAAGACTGTTGGAAAGTGAAAATCTGATCATTTTTTCTGTATTTACAGTTTTTGGCAATGATGAATGATGATTTATTTATTTAAAGGTAGGACATCATAGCTTCCTAACATGATGGCAGATTTTTAGATTCAGGCGTTTCAGTAATGTTTAGTCTCGAGGCCAGAAATTGCGAATAGGTAACCTTTAAGAGACAACTCAAGATTCTGGTGTTGAGAAATGTTTTTCCTCCATATCTGGACTCAAGCTTAAAGTCAACAGCAGTACTGTTCTCTAGCAAAGTGAGACCTGTGACCTCCCTACTGGGACTCATCATCAAAGTTATTTTAAAAATAGCTGTATTTACCAGTGCTCTGATCCTCTCTTTCCATTGAGGAAAACAAAGAAGTATTGGTGTCCTCGTTTAGGTAATCTTGGCCTAGATGCCAGAAATTGCCATCACGTGACTTCTAAGAGACAACTGGAGGTTCTGGTGTTTAGAAAAATGATTATTTAACAGCAGAACTGTTCTCCAGCAAACATGTGACGTCCCTACTGAGCATTATAGCAAAAGCCATTAACAACAGTTCTAGTGTCGCTGTATTTATCTATTAAATCAAACTCCTCAGGGCTTATTCAGTGCATTGCATCCTGTTGGTCTTATATTTATCACACTTTTTTTGCATTTCATTAAAGTCACTATTAAAAAAAAAAAGAACAAATAGTTACCAAGAATAACGAGTAAACAAAAGCGCACGCAGATCACAGTGTTGTGTTGTCACAGAAGAGAGTGTCAGCCGATGGCAGCTGCACCGCAGCACTGAGGCCTAATGAGGAAGGCTTTTACAGTGTGACTGCAACTCAACAGTTGCTCAAGAAAAGGAAATTCCCCGCGCTTCTAGTTTGCAACTTCTGTGTCTGACTTTGTGTCTGTCTTGCCTTTGATCCACGCACACACACACATTCACACACACAGAGCGCATCGTGTGCAGTCACTGCTGCGTTAGCTCTCGTCTCAGTCATGTGCTCTTGAATTAGCACACCACCACATCCTTTCACTGTTCATCTGTGCCTACTGGTTTTGCATGCAGACGTACAGCATGTAAATGTATGTTTTGTGGAGTGGAACAAAAGCCTAATGTATGACTTTTCCATGTGTGTGTGTGTGTGTGGGACTGGCTTTGTCATAACCTCAGTATCCTGTGTTTAATTCACACACCTGCACTGTGAGCATCTATAGGAGTATTTACATTTTTTTATACTGAAATATGCAGTACTATACACATAATATATATATAATGTACATAATGTATATACTATACACATAAGACTTAAAATTTAACTTTGCTCGCTCTTGGGTTACTTTTTGTACATTTTAGTTGCTGAAAACAGAAATAAATGTCTTTTTTTTCTTTTGAAAATCATCAAATCCTGCAGAGTATTTAATTCAACAGAGAGCTTTAAATACTTCATTATCTCCATAAGTTTGTGTCAGATTCTGCACTGCAGTTGAAGTATCTTTATTAAGAGTGTATGCAGATAAATGAAACTTCTGATTCTGCATCTGGTTTCAGTTTGTCAACCCCAAATCCACAAACTATGGGTGAAAGTTCTCTGATAGTAGAAATGTGTCATGTAGCACGTCTCAGCCTATTGCAAGACTTTTTAATATCCTGCCATCTAGTGGTGGGAAAACTGAGCAGACACTTGCTTTTAGTTTTATTCATGTATGAAATAAATTTAATATAAGAGCATTTCATCATCTCGCTTTTACTATTCCGTTTTAGACAGAGAATATTTTATACACTGATGCCTTCATTTGTGAAACATGACTCACCAGTATGATGAAATTCTTGCCTTTTCTTCATTTTCTTAGCCGCACCACATTTTCTTAAAACTTTTTTATCTAAAAGCAAATAATCCTGAAACAAGTGAAATCCGTTTTCATATAAATGAACGTCTTTATCTCTGTGAATTTACGTTTCTGCCTGTGAGTTTGCTGTTTTAATTATAGTGCCTCAGTTACATTTGAGGCTCTGTAGAAGCGAGATTTCTTTATTAGGAACATCAAACGTCCGCCGCTGTTAGAAAGTGTAATATCCAAAAAAAAGCTCATCAGGGTTTAGCTCCGTCTTTGCAGTTATCTGAGCTTGCTCTTCTTCTCTGTTTCCGTGCAGTTCCCAGGCAGAAGGTGACGTTAAGGAGGAGATTCTCCAGCCCCCGGAGCCTCACCCCGTACCCCCCATTCTGACCCCGTCTCCCCCCTCAGCCTTCCCCACCGTCACCAACGTACGGCAGGACAACGACCGCTACCACCCCAAACCTGTCATACACGTCCTGGCTACAGCGCAGCAAAACGTGACACAGGTGAGCCAGCAAATATACAACTTACATATTTTATTTTTTATTTTTTTTAAAGACCATTTCTGTGTGTTTTAATCTATAACAGTTCTTGAAGAAATGTCTTTTATTTAACTGTATAGTGCAGTTTTTATCATTACTTTACGTGGAAACATGAACATGGTATGTAGCTTTGGTATTTGGTCCAGTAAAACCTGCTCTCCTCATGCTCAAGGCATTTCACAGATGCTGCTATGCAGAGCAACTTGGAGTCTTGCTCTATTTCCACAACATATGTAACACTTAGATGAGGACAACATGAGGAGTCTTGTCCTACCAGATCATTAGAGGAGCAGATGTGGAGGTCTCACTGCTAATCTCTCAAACAACTGTGCATCTTTACCTTTATTGAACAGTCGACGTTATTGCACATCATTTGCACAGTTTCTCATTTAAAAGCAGGTGATTAGAGATTTAATTTAACTGGGGCTGCAGCTAATGATTATTGTTCATGACGGATTGATCTGCCGATAATTGAATGTCTGATTTTTAGTTCTGTCAGCTAAAACCAGCGAAACATGTTCATCACGCTTTCTCAGTGTCGAAAGTTAAGTCCTTTAAATTGTTCTGTTCGACTAACAGTTCACATTTTACACATAGTTGTTGCCGTTTATCATTTAAAAATGACTGAAATTACACAATTTATTATAGGCAGGAAATGTAAATACATAAGGAACCTTTCAGACGGTCCTTGAAGTAATCATGTGTGTGATCTCTGGTTTCAGTGGTAAAATTAACCAAATCTTATCGTAAATTTATCAAAGCTACTTTATTCTACATGTCTCACTTATTAATAGTTAATATTTGCCCAACAATCAACTGTACTAACCAGAATCTCTAAAAAAAAACAAACAAAAAAAAAAACAAACAAACAAAGAAAAACTTCTCAGCATAACAGCAGCACAGTTAGTGACTCAGCTCCATCAAAAATGGTGACAAAAAAAATCTGAAACTTTTCAGATGAAGTTGGCTACTTTTACACAACCAGATAGGTGACAAGTTTTTAAACAAAGTAAAAATGTTGACAGTAAAATATGGTATGTGGAGTCACCATTTTATCCAGTATTGGTAATTTATTTATTTATTTTACCAGTGTGTCATCTGCACAAAATACATTTTTTATATTCTCTGTATTTCTAGCCATGGTTGTGCTGCTTCCAAAGAGGTGCAGGACTTTATATTGCAGTGAAAAGTCTGATTCTGAAGGGAAAACGTAGGATTATGAGCCCACGATGAATAAAAAAGAGCCCAAAAAACTGGTTAGGGTTCAGAGCGTTACTCCACAGTTTGGCTACTTCTGATGTGCGTCCTCTGTTAGAAGTAATAAGATAAATCTTTTCTACTTTTGTGTGGAGTTTTGTAAAGTGAAATTTATTTAAAATAGGCTTGGTATTCACTTTAGAAGTCGAACTGCTCACTGTGTTCAAGTTACAGAAGGAAAGCCACCAACCCAGAGGGGCTGTCGTTCTTTAAACACTTTGAAAGCCAAACTTAAAGCGTCTGCTTAAAGCTGCTCAGCTTTGGTCTTCATGATCACATTTATGAACATGATGTTCTGTTGTGTGTAGTTTTGTGTTGCATGTTTGCTGTGTGTCATTGCTGTGTAATTGAGTATTTTACCGTACCTGTTTTGTTCCAACCTGCAGGGACTACAGATCCAAATGAGCTTGATGCTATAATGAGTTATCATGCATCAAATGCTGACATTTACATAACACATTGAAATAATTAAATGAAAAAAATATGTAATTGCAAATAATATGTAAATGTATACATGTGCATAATGATGTCGCCCTTTTTTTTTTTAGTTTCCTAACCTGGGAATCTCGCTTGTTTGTTTTTTTTGTGGGAGCTGCTTCATAAGCTTTTTCTCTCACATGCTGCAACATTAAAAATGTCAAAGATTTCTGCTAGAATTGTGTGTAAATGTTGTGCTTTTGTGAGTGGGGACTGTATGTCTCATTTCTCTATACTTTCTTTTTTCAGAATAAAGACGCAGACAAGCAGCAGGACCAGTCAGAACCAAGTCCAAACAAGCAGACCAGTCCCTCAGAGCAGAAAGATCCAGACCTGCTAAGCCGCAAACAGCAGACTCATGTCTCCAATCTAGATCTCAATGACAACTACAACAACAAATTGTCTTCAACATCGACAAAATCCGAATCAGGCCAAAGCCAAACTCCCTCCTCGCCCCTCTCCCCTGCCGTTGAATGTTCTGGCGCTCCTCGGATTGAGAGGAAGCTCAGCATCGAGATTAAAAAGGTGCCGTTGCAGGAAGGACCTCGTAGCTTTGACACCTCCTCCTCCATGGGAGTGGCGAGCGGCACCAGTTCAAGCAATAGCAGCTGCGTGCTGCAAAGAGGCCACGCCTTCAAAGCTCGCTCCGGCCAGTCCCTGCTGACGTCCAGCTCCTCGCTGTCGGAGGACTCGGGCACGGAGGGAGGAGCGGGCGGATGCGGGGAGAGCCATGTGGACGGAGGCGTCCTGACCAGACCGAACCACCTCCCCGTGAAGAGCAGCGAGAAGAGCGACGCTCAGGGAGGAGACGCGAAAGCTGGCCATGCGTCCTGGACTCAGCCCTGCAACAGCCCCGAGAAACTGTTCCCCAAGACCTCGTCCTCTTCCTCCTCCTCGGACCGCGTTGCTCCATCCTCCTCCTCCTCCTCCCACCTCTCCTCCTCCTCTTCCTCCTCCTCCTCCACCCCCGTTAGGACTGCCCTGAGCTTCACCAACCCCCTGCACTCGGATAACTCGGACGAGGAGGGGAACGGAGAGATGTCTGGAGGGAAGGAGGGTTATCGTACAAGTGTCTCCACGGCAACGGCCATGGTAACCGCATCCTCTCACCAAGGAGACCAGCAGCCGGTCAGGAAGGTGCTGCCCATGTCAATCGCGGGGCAGAGCACACCGTCACCCTCTGCAACCCCAGCAAGTATGTCAATCAGCTGCTTCAAGTGAATCTAACTCAACCTTTCCTAACTCAATCAATCAATAACAAACACATTAAATTAACAATATAAACACTTAACAAACTCAGCTCAACAATGGCGTTTAGTTCAGCTCATTTCTAAGTAGTCTGGTCAAGATCTTCTCCCTTAAACACCAGCAAAGGCACTAAGTACGTCCAATAACCTGTCTTTATTATCCACACTCACATATGCTCAGGGTAATCACACGGTAGAGTCATTTTCTGGGTCAGTGAAGAGACAGAGGTCTAAGACAGACAACATGCTAATGACAAGTTGTATCTGTCAGCACACAAACACACATTGTGGCAGGGAGAAGAAAAAAAGCAAACTGGAGGCTTGGAAAAAAGGAAAGAACAAGATGTAGCAACAGAAACAGCGAGATAGTGTCCAGCGAGCCTCGTATAAAGCATGACTGTCCGACTAATTGTTGGTTTGCAAGGAATGCGAGCAGGCAAACATCTGTCAGAATAACTCCACTCTAACCCTCTCAGCTTGTGTGTGTGTGTGCGTGTTTGTCTAAATGAGTGTGTTTGCAAACGGGACAAAGAATGAAAGAAATCCTGTTTTGGTTTCAGTGCGTGGAGCACCGAGCTGTGTGTGCATGTCGGATGGTGAAGGATCAACACTGCATGATACTGATAAATGCCACTTGTGTGCACGTTGGGTTTGAACAGAGCGGCGACACACCGTTTGGCCTGACTGTCATGATCGCAGCAACAATGAGATGTGTTTTTTTTAATCTTTATCTCTTCTGATTTCAAAATCTGGTGATTCTGAAATCGGATTCTGACTTGGATTTGGAGCTGACGGGAAATGGCGTGGTTTGAAGTGGACTTTGGCTTGGAGTTGTTTTTGAGATTGAATGGGTTCATGGCTTGTTGACTTAAGAAATAACCTGCATTTTTAAATGTTGGATTAAACTGTGAAGAAAGCATGATGTGAGTCAGTTTGCTGGCAGAGCAGTTACGTCCAGTACAGAGTATGGAAGTGTAAAAGCTGAAATTAAACAGATAAATTATGTAGGCGGAGATTAGTAGTAGTAGTATGTATAGATAACTTTAAATACAAATATTTAATTTAATTTAATTTCACAGAGAAATTAGGCCTTAAAGCTGGTAAAGTTCTGATGTTAACCTTCTATTTTTAAAAAAATCACCAAAATGGCACCATTTATCCTCGTGATTAACAATTCCTCAGGGTCTCAGCTATACGATTACATGAGTAAATCCCCATATTAATAACGATGTAGGGCCCTAATATTTATTACAAACAAGTAAAGTAGTATTTAATGTACTTCTGTAGTATTTAAATCCCTAGTTAGTAAATTACTCCAGTAAACCACACCATAGATAACACTACAGAGTCTCAACCCCCAGTGTTTCAGCTTGTTAGGTTAATTAATATTTATAATCTCTATTTTTAAACTGGAAATCACTTTGGCACATTTGCTGTTGTTTAACTGTGCTATAAAAACGAGTAAATTAACTCGACTTGTCAGAGCCAGAAACTCTAAAATCAGAAACAAATGTTCGACTGTCAATTTTCTCTTCAGAAAAAGGTTCAAATCTAAGCAGGATTGAAAAACAGCCCAAATTTAAGAAGGGTAGAGTTATGCAGCAATAAATAAAATGCTTTTTTAAAATGTATTTTGTCACATTCTGCATTCTTTAGAAACAACACAAAAAATGATGGCGTGAAAAGTCGGTACATTGACATTGTTTTCGTTTCTCATTAAAACCCAAATCGCCACGAGACAAACTTTTATGAGCTGTTTGAGGAAAACAATGCAAATTAGTGTTTCATGCAACAAGCAAAAAAAAAAAACAAAGGTTATAGAAGCCATTAAATGTCTGACATCATGTTCTGCATCATGCTCTCCTCCAGTTGTTTTCCAGCATTTAAAACCAAATGCGGGACTATTCGCCTCACAGTCCTGAGGTTCCACTGTTTGGTTCTGCTTGGCTTTCTGGCACGTTGTTTGTTTGGGCTGCGGCGGCGCTTCGGTTATGAAAAGCTAACGGCTGCTGTCTGACTGGTTGCAAGAATCTAATGGCTGCTTGTTGATGAGTTGCGCTGAGCAAATTGCTGCTTTGTGGTGGGTCGAGAGAGAGAGAGAGAGAGAGAGAGAGAGAGAGAGAGAGCTGGTGGCTGCTTGTTTTGTCAGTGGCATTAATAATGAATCGCTCAAAAGATTGATTTAACTGCACGTGTCGCTGAGGTTAACTGCAGTTCAGATTGCTTTGACGAACAAATGAGACTCAAGAAAATGCGAGAATGATTGAAATCAAATAAAACGACACACATATGTAGAGACGGAGGTAAAAATAGAAAATGCAAAATAAAAGATTAAACAAATCACACAGAAGCTGTAATTTGTACTCACTGTAATCAGTTTTTTTAATCATTAGCATTAAAGTATTCCCAGCAACTGAGTGATTATTTTAATTGTAATTAACCGTTTTTGAACATAGCACCATAAAATCAGGATTATTACTTTTCTGTTTGTCGTTTACAGTAACTCGCTTGTTCATTAGGACTCATGTTACACTAATGAGACAGTTTCATGGGTCTCTTTGGGATTAAAATGCAGTAAGTAAAACAAACAACTTCAAATGAGTAATTAAAAATGCTTCGAACGTCTTTAGATGTCGAATTAAAAATTGATTTTAAAGAACACCTGAGGTAAAAAAAGGCCACAAAAAGCTTCGGATTTGGTAGAATTCCGTTAAATTAAGACGTTAAATAAGACAAAATAAGCGAAAACTCCCCTCACTGAAGGTATTAGGATCAATAGATTGTCACCACCAGGAAATGAGACTAATATTTTACAATAGAGGCGTTGTACTCTGAGGCGAAATACTTCCAAAGGCAGTATCTCAACCTTTCAGAGTCTCTCGGTCCATTTCAGTGTGGATAAATGGGAGAAAATATAATTAAAGGGTCAGGCTTCCTCAAGAGTTCAACCAGGTCTCTGTGAGGAAGAGACAGTCAATCTGGTGGTCGCTAATAAGGTCATTAATACCAAACGTCTCTGAGGATATTGCCCTTGCATTAGAAAGAGCTACGTTTTTCCTCCTAGGAAAATCACTTGCATGCTATTATTTTTAGAGCCTATAAGGAAGGCAGAGTTGTTTCAGGCTGAGATAATTGAGTTTTTATAAACAGTCCGTGTAAAATGCAGCCTTATGTTTTTCTTGTTTTCTTTTTTATCTGGCTGCGAGCTGATAGCAGCGATAAGAAGCCTCAGTTTAACAGATAACTGCGTCGTTGGAACAAAGCAGTTGCGTCCTCGCCGAACCAGTCAGACCTCAAAAACAAAACGATCTTTTCCTCATTACACGTCCCCTCGCTCCGCTGCAGCAGGAGCTAATGGTAATGATCCACGGATAATTTTCCAGAGTATCACAAATGGACCAAATTACCCTCCGACGTTGTGGACATCGCAATAATGTTCACCGTCGACAATATAATCACAACGACGGGGGATACATCAGTAATTTTAGTTGCAACTTAATCAGCCCTGCTGGAATTTTAACCAGAGAGCGCTTTTATTAACCAGTAAAAACCACAGAAAACATTTCTATTAATAGTGTTTGAGGAGAGTGTGGACTTGATCATGACTTGAAGTGATCTCCTTCAGTCATGACACTAATAACAGACGTACACTGCTGTCATTAAGCCTCAGTCTTCTCTGCATACAAAAACCATGCGTGATACTTCTAGTAATACTCATTTAGGACTGATTTAATGATATTAAAAGAGATTAATTGACACGATCATGTTCAGATGCAGTCTTTCCACTGCCCAACGACTTAAACTAATAACCAGAAACCAAACTTAACTGTAATAATCAACTAATGGAGGTGCTTTGAAAACTGAATTGCAGTCGTAGATGTTATGTTCTGTTTAAAACATTAGCACACATTTGAAGTAGAAAAAGAAATTAATGACAATAAGGGAAAATAGAGCACAAGAATAAGTTTGTTTAGTCCTCTAAATACCAGGTAGTTTCAGGGCAATTTTCATTTGTTCCTAAAACATTTGTACACACTGTCAGCTCTTTTTTCACTGCAATGTAAAGTCCTGTAGCTCTATGGACACAACGCAACCATGACTAGAAGGAGAGAGAACTCAAAAATCTATGTAACTGTTAGAATGAAATATATCAGAGCAAAAGATAAAACTACATTTGAATTGTTTTGATTGTTTATTTTAAAAAGCAAAAGGAAAAAAACCTATACACAGATGTCACCAATACAGGATAAAATAGTGACCCTACATCCTATAGATATTTTAGATATATGAAGAGTTCATTTGCAAAAACAGATAACTCCATCTTCACAAACCTTCAGAAAACCCACTTTTCCATCGTCTACCTGCGACAATATCAATCACACTTAAGTTTTCTCTTTTTTTGTCATGTCATTTCTACTGAGTCAGATCCACTCAACTTCAGTTTGATTGATATCATCTCAGCACAGAACAGAAAAATATGTTTTCTGAAAATCTACAAAAATGGAGTTATCTGTTTTTGCAAATGAACTCTTCATATCAGGATTTTAAGCTTGGATTTGGTTACATTTCCTGACAGTCACTAATAATTAGTTCAAGGACTGTTGGAAAGTTGAAAATCCAGCAATTATTTCTGTTTTTACAGCTGCTGCCTCTGATAAGTGGTGTAATTTTGGTTCATCTGTAAACACAGAATGTTTCTCAATTCCACCTGATGGTTTAACTGGTTCAGAGGGTTTATTGTCCAAATAAATTAAACTAGTGCATTGCAACGATTGTTTTCACTGCTGCACTACGTAATGAAGCTTTTTGATAAACATGAGATAATTTTACCCTTTAGATGATTACTTTACTGCTACTGGAAAATCTAGTTAAACTAGTCGTGCTGGTTTTCCCCGACGCTGTTATGAAGACGTGTAGATAAAGATAATTTTTTCTGCCTTGCAAACCCAGCTGCAGATTGGAGAAACAATTATCTGTGAATCCATCAAAATGCAGAACGCAGCTTGTCATACCAAGACGTATCTGTGCACCTATGAAATACAAAAAGATTTATTGGCACAACCATATTCAGATACAGTCCACTGCACAGCCCTGCATGAATACTGACAGAAGTAATCCTCAGAAGAGTAAACCAAAAAAGAGAACAATATTTAACAGTATAGAGACTGAATGAAGTGCTTTTAATTTGAAATTACAATAGCGGTTTATTTCTTAAATAGAAGCCCAAATTTGACCAAAAAAATGTTTAAAAAAATAGAATAAAGTTTTGTGTGCATGTGCAGTACGACACAAATAAAGTAACGATAATAAGGAAAAAGTCAAACAGATGAATACATAGTTGAAGCAGTATATGTGATCAGCCAATCAAGTAAATTACATACTTTACATTTATTTTGTTAATAAGAAAATAAAGCTAATATGACAAAGCAGCTTCTAACTGATAACATACCTTTACTTGAGCTTTTTTTGTCTCCCTGTCATTTGACTGCCGATCTCTTCTCTTTCTTCTCGGCCGCCTTGCTTCTCGTTTGACCTCTGACCTTTTAACCCAGACTGCTGGGACAGCGACGACTCCCCTCCCCCCCTCCCCGAGAGAACCCCCGAGTCCTTCATACTGGCCACAGGTGCGTTTGCATTGGTCAAGATCCACAGGTGTGTTTCCGCTGCTGTGGATTCAGCTTCTGAAAAGGTGGACGGATCAGTGGCGATGAAACTGGAAGGTTCAAAAAAATAAGTGGATGGTGTTTAACACAGTACAGATCCGGGTCGTGTGTTGTTGCTTTGTTTATGCTGGTGGTGCAGGTTGTGAGGTACTAAAAACCGGTCAGCTGTGGTTGTTTGATCCAGTTTGCAGCCTCTGATATGAGCTGAAACAGTCGGGCTTCTTTTACCTGGTAGCTTACAGTCTATGAGCAGGTAGGGATTCAGTCTCTATCATCCTCACTTCAAACAAACAGATGGAAACACATATTGCAGATAGGAAGTCTGCGGCCTCTTTTTCACAGGATGAACTCTTTATTAATTCGGCCACCCTGGCGCCTTCTGCTACGTTTTTTTTTTTCTCCTCTCTTCCTGTGTGACGCTCTGATATGTGAAGAAAATAATATTGAAATATTCAGCCGCACCGGCGCACACGAGATGAAAAGGAGATTAAACCTTTGTGTTACAAATGAGCACGCTGCTTTTGTAAGAGGCTTTATCAGTTTTCCAACACTAGAGGTCAGCGTTGGCTGTTGCAGGCAAATCCGAGCGCTATTGTGAACGTTATCTTTGAAAGACGGTACAGTTGGTTGTAGTTTATTGCTTTTAGGATGAATTAGAAATGGCAGCGCAGATAGAGGAAGATGAAAGGCAAAGAGATGTAGGAAATGACAGAAAACTCCATGTTCTGAGCCTTTACAATCATGTGTTCGTCTGAAGAGATCAGTGTTCATTAAGCTACTGGGAATAGTTGTTGTTATAAATCTATCTTGCACCTTTGAGGGCCAAAGTGGATTTTTTTTTTGCCTGAATGATAAACGAAGGGTTGATTTTAAGACTGAAAAATGAACAGACACTATAAAGCGATGTGTACTGTGACTTTGAAATGATCCTTGGATGTGTGGGAATGTGTGTGTATTCGCTTCATGTCTTAATGTTTGTTCTTTTGTCTTCAAATGCTCTTTCTCTGTCAAATTCCTGCATTTTCTTGCTCTCTGTCAGACCCTTTGGAAATGAAAATGTCAGCCTCGGCTGAATGGAGCAGCTCGCATAAAGGTACGAACATGCAACGCTGGTGCTTTAATTCTCCCTGTCATTGTTTACCTGCCCGTGTTTGTCTGCAGTCTGTCGGTGTCTGCAGAGGTGAACATCTGCCTGACCTCTCTGCGTCTCCCTCGCTTCCCTCTGTGTCACTGTTTATGTGTTTACAGCAGTTAGTCAACAGAGCAGAGCAGGAAACAGACCTTCGGTGCTTCACAAATTAGCCCGCACATGATAAGACTGACGGCGTTAGTCAGAAGGGCAGCTGTAAGAGCGAGAGAGAGATACAGAGGGAGGGAGAAAAGGGAGAAAAAAAAGACAAAACATGTCTGTGGAGAGGTACAATGAAAACGAGAGCACATGCTTATCTGTGCAACGAGGGTTGTTTGATGATGGTTACTGGCAATTTATTGCTTCAGTAGTTCTGGTGCGGGTGTGACAGCTTAATCAAAAGGGAATAACTGTTTGACTTTAATTCTGGAATGGGTTTTTTTTTTCATACTTGTGATAAATATTACTCACTAGAAAGAATAAAGAGACTGTGGATTCATTTAAATACCTTCTAAACGTCAGACTCTCTAGATTTTGAACATAGATATCTAATTATAATGGCAGCAAGCAACTAACTGCTATGTGAAGATACGGCTGAGTAATGGTGTCCTTACTGGAGGCTGAAGTCACACTCCCTCTGTGTTATAATCTTAGATACTCTGTTCTATGCATGCATGCTAGTGATGCTGGTGAACATTAGTGCACGTGAGTCCCTCCTGATGAAACTGTTGACAGTCCCTACGCTTATAAACAGACTGAGAATGATATCCAAAAGACACAGAATTTCAAAACTAAATATTTTATTTATGTTATTTCAGCTACATTTCTGTTTACGTCTTAAATGACACGTAATTTAGTTTTGACCTAAGCCTCACCTACGAGGTGTCAGAAAGGTTCCAGGACTGGTGTCACAAAAAGATATATTTCAGACCCACACTACAAACTACCAGTTTTCCCCTTCAGACGATCAACCAGCACGTCCACAAAGAGATCCTGCCGCGTTTGCTTCGTTCAGTGCGCGAGAAGAGGCGAGAGTTGTGGCAGGACAAGTCGTGGCTGCTTCACCATGACAACACGTCTGCTCACAACGCCCTGAGCATCCGACAGTTCCTGGCTGAGAAGAACATCTCCATGCTGGAGCAACCTCCCTATTCACCCCACCTGGCTTTGTGGGATTGTTTCCTCTTCCCCAAGCTCAAGGGGGTCATCTAGGGGACCCGTTTTGAAGACGTGGATGACATCAAGATGGCTGTGACGACGGAGCTGAGGAGGATCCCTGAAGAATCCTTCCAGGAGTGCATGGTGGCAGAGAAGGCTGGGAAAGTGACTCCAGAGGGATTACTTGGAAGGGGAAAACTTGTAGTTTGGATTTGAAATATATCTTTTGTGACACCAGTCCTGAAACTGACACACCTCGTATGACATTGTAGGAAAGACATTTGAAAGAGCCACAAAGTTCACGTAAGGTTTTAGAAGGGGAGGATGGAGGCATATGTCAGCAACAGGACTTTCACTCAGGAGACCAGTGTTGGCTACCAGTGTGGGACCATTAGTCTTAGACTTTTATTTTCACTTGTTGTTCACCTGTAGTTGTTTGGTTAGGTTTAGGCACCAGAACTATGGGGTTAGGTTTAGAAAACGATCGCGCTTTAATTGACACTTTTACAACAATAGGTGCATGTTCGAAGCTTGGCTACGTTTAAGTATCAAAAATGCTCGGTTAGGGTTAGGAAACATCATGATTTGGATTCAAATACCAACCGTTTTCTGGGTAACAGGACGATGAGTCTCGTCCAGTCTCATATATGATTGTTTGGTTGAAAAGTAGTGAGGCAGTGAGATACATTGAAAAGATATGTTAATTTGAATCATATTTGAGATACCTTGTAATGTTTTCTCTCAAAACGTAATTAACAACTTAACCGTGTTGACAACATCTTGTTACAGCCACGCAGTGTATTGCATGATGCTAGCATGGACTAATGGCTGCGGCTGAATTGTTTTCGTCCGCTCTCATGTACACAATGTTTTCTGGTTGTGAATGAAAGTGTGGGGATGGCAGAGGTGTGACTGACGTGTTTGTTTTGGTCTGAGATGCTGGTGTTGGAGTCACATACGCTGGTTCAGAACCTTTAAATGTCAAGCTCTGTGTACATCTGAGTGTCTGTACAAAGGCTATTCTGCCTGACTTCCTCGGTAGAGAAAGGACTTAAACACTGCATGTACATCAGCCACCTGTCAGAATATGTAGCATGTTGATATATAAATAGATACAAGCAGAAAACTCATTTACATGTGGGTTTGTATTTTCACTGCAAACCAAATCAGTGTTTTTGGGACCTCGCTCAGTAAAACTAATGTGGTTTAAATGGATCTTACATCACACCTCATGAGCACTCACTCCACTGTTATTCACACAGTAGTTCCACCCCATTAAACTGCGCGTTTGTGTGTTTGCTTGTGTGCAGACGTGTCAGATTGTGTCAACAAGACGTCTCCAGCTGACCCTGCATCTACTGGCACCACGGCAACAGACAGCAAGGCAGAGCTCGGTGGGTAAGTCGGCTGTCTTACTTCCTTTAGACGTTGTGACATGACTGAATAACTGTTGTTTGTCAGGTCTCTGCTAGTCAGGCCTCTGAAGGAGCGCAAACGTTATTTGCACAAGTAATGACTTTTTTGGTCTCTGTGCAGAAACGCTGCTGACAAACATGGTTTCTGTTAATGTCATCATTTTTTCGTGTCGCTTGTGCTGATTGGAAGGCTAGCTTTGGGCCGCATGAGCAGAAAATGTCTGATGGTTTTGAGAGCAGAGTCACAAGAATAAGATTTCTTCTTTACATTCAGCTCAAAGCATAACAAACCCAGCTAAAAAACGTCTCTATTTTCAGGGTTCGGTAACCGCTGCATTCAGCCCAAAGGCCCTCGAGAACCCCCCCTGGAGTGGACATGATGGAACAATCCGTCTTCCCGTCCACCAACACAGTCCTCCCTTGTCAGGAAATGGACTCTACCGATCTCACCTGGCTGGTCCAAAAACCAAGTTGATAGATGCTCCGCAGACAAAACAGCACATTTTTACACAGAAACGTCTTCTGTGTGACTCTGTGCCTCTTCAGCCTGATCCACTCTTCCTCCTCCTTCAAAGTGCCACTGTGCAAAGCAGAGCGGTCGAGAGACTTGTCCATTTTAGAACAAAGCTCACGTTTTCCTCCTCAGCTTGCTGATGTTAGAGGGTTTCTCTAGACGCTGACCGTGCTTCAGTCTGGTTGTTTCCGTGTTAATGGTTAAAGCATAATTCCTGCTTTTTTTTTTTCTTAGTTTTGGCGACTTAAGAGTGGACTAAGAAAGGATCTTGTTTTCTCCCTGAGACTTAATGAAAATGTGTCCTTTCTTAGGCTAAATGAAGAGGAGTGACTCTTAATTAAAAAAAAAAAAATAAAAGTGTTCAGGATGAGCACTTTGTTTCATGCCAAATGTAACTTAAAATAAAAAGAAAAAAAACATCAGGAATTATCTTTAATCAGAAAAGCTACTGTGGGAGGCGGATCTCTGAGATTTAACTCCCAGAAGTTGTCTGCTGCCTCCTACTGAATGAACAACAATCTTCAAAGCGAACTTAGATAATCTGTCACCCATGATGCAACCTTTTCTGTTGGGTATGTACAGGTTGCCAGGGTGCTCTCTCTCTTCTCTCTCTCTCTCTCTCTTTCTGTCTCTTTATAATCTCTCTTTCTATGTGCTGGTGCTACATTACAAAAGGATCAGCATAGAAACAGAAGCGCTAGAGCTGACTGTTACCAACATTCACCTGTTTCTCACCTCCGTCGTGGTTTCCTGTAGGATTTACTCCTGTGTTAGCTGAAGTAATACCAGCTCTAGTATTTGATATTTCTATGCTCTTTTGCCAGAGTCATAGGCTAACACAGTTTGGTCATTGCAATAAACAGGCTCATTCACTTTCTTGCAGAGAGTTAGATTCAACTCTGTGTGTTTTAATAGTAAACATGTAGCTGGAGCCAGTAGCTTAATTGACACTGGATTTTCCGGTTTTCGTGCTAAGCTAAGCTAACAGGCTGCTTCGTGTTTACTGTACAGACATCAGAGTGTTGTCATTCAAGTCTCAGCAAGACGCAAAAGAAGTGCGTTGTGATTGTTTGAGCTAAATATCTGCTCATTCTGTGGCAGTGGACGGTAATGTTGACACCTTAGCTGAAAGCTGAGGAGGTGAAGGATGAGACCAAAGTGTTCCCTCAAAAAGAAGTTAGTTTGGAACTTGTTAAGAGGCTCAAACAAAACAAGCAAGTAAGAAATCACAAGAGGTGTCATTTGTGTAGCGGAAATGTTCTGATTAGTGTCCTCTGAAAACCCTCCAAAGTTTCTGCAATTTCCAATCCTTAGTGGAATCCCATTAGAGGTGAGACGACATGAAACACACCAGTAATGACCAAACTGGTCAGCTCTGTGACTCTGACTGTCACTGCTGCGACCATGAGCCTGCCTTAGTCCGCCTCTCAGAGAAGACAGCCAACGACAACCCTCCTTTTATTTGTCTTCTCCTTCCACTTCTTTTCTCTCTTTGTGTCTCTGGCTTCTCTTGGTCTTTACTTCAGACTCCCTTTTTGCTGTTTGTGTCGCTGTTGTTGTCCTCTTTTCTTTCCGTTCTCCTCTTTTGTTGGTGAGGCCCTCAGATGAACGACCGTGAAAGTTTTTAATTTCAGCAGCTCGCGACTGACCTCAGTGTTTCGGAGTATGAATGTTACCCATGACCTGAAACACTTGAAACCTGAAACCTGGGACTTGGCACGTTGATATTGAACCTCCACCGCTCCTCTGAAAACCGGACTTGTTTTTGGTTTCTCGTCTGACGGCTTGCTGTTCTCCACCTACTTCTGACACAATGATCCAGTAAGACAACAGCAGCAGCGTAGGGACCCAGGACTACTGTTTTCTCCTTATCCTTAACTTCTCCTTCATTAGCTACCATAACTATACAGTATATGCATTGTTTTATAAAGATAAAGAACTGTACAGGGCAGTTTAGGTATATAATATTTCAGATTTTTTTTTTTTGTTGTTTTTTCGCGCTATCTCTTAAATGTTCCTATTAACAGAAGATGTAAGAAAGTCAGTGCATGATGATGATGATGATGATGATGATGATTCCTCCACCCTACACAATGTTTTTCCTTCAAACTGTAAATTATTCTGCTACCCTTTTGTTTTTGCTTCCAGCAAATATTTCAGGGTTGTTTTATTTTTTATGTTATATGCTAAACAGATTGAGAATTTTAAAAAAAACACAACGTTGTTTTAATTGGTTGGCAGAGGAAAAGCGTAGACTGCCAGCCGGCCCCCTTTCAGATAGCTACAACGGGCTCTGAATAAGATTGTAATAATAATATTAATGATGATGATAATAATAATAATAATAATGGTCGTTTTTTGTAAATGGTATTTTAAAAGTTATTTTTGTATACGCGGTTGTTTGTTGCGTCACAAGTCCACTGCCCAACCCCTACCCCCCACCTCCCAACCCTGAACCCTCTTTTCACAAACACTTTTTCATTTTCTCTAATCCTTTTAAATGGTTTTCGGGGGTTTATTCTCCAACTTTTCTTTTGCTCTTTCAGTGACAAACATGCAACTGAGATGGAGCATTTCATTCTTTTTCTCTCACATCCTTAACTTGCTGCTTTCCTTCTTTCCCACTCTTGTTTTTGCCTTTTCAAAAGTCTGCCATTTCCAACACATCTACTTGCCAACACTACCTTTAGTGAAGCATCTCCAACCTGTTGTTGGTCCAAAGTAGCAAAACAAGAGGCAGTCTTTTTGAACTTTTTCATCCATTTCGCCTCCGTTTCTTTGCCCCACCTTGTACCTCTATCCTCCCCCATCCGCCCACCTACCTCCCCGCCCCCACACTCACACTAGCCTCGATCTCAGAAAAGAGCCCACCTGTGCCTTTAAGAGAGAGCCCGCCCTCCCCCTCCCCCTGCCCTCCAATCATCATTAGTGGCATGAGCGTGAGCGACGTGATTCGCTGCTGCTTGCTCATCACCTCCTGTGGGACTCTCATTCAGCCACGCCCCCTTCCCGCCCCGCCCTCCTGTCACACATAAACATAAACACACATGCACACACACACACGATGTTTGTATGTTGCAGAAATCAATCAGTAAAAATGAACATTAAGTAAAGATGACGCCTCGTTTTTCTTTATTTGTATGTGTTGAATGAAAATCTGTTGTTTTTGGGTTTTGTGGTTGTTAGAAACTTGGAGGTGTAAAGTAAAAGCTGTTAAGATATGATGACGTCTGCCTTTCCTCAAGCGCCCCCACAACTAGATAGACCGCCACGCTATGTTCCAACTGAGGAACCAATAGTCGTCCAAGCTTAAACTTTGTCTTATCCCGCCCCCTCAGAGCCATTCAGAATGAGCAGCTGCCTCACAATCCACCAGCTTATTTTACTTCCTAGACCTGTTTCTGCTAACTCTTACTGTCTGAACCACTAAGAAGGCAAAACAAATGTTCTGCTGTTGGCTGCAAGAGTGAACACAATGGTCTTAATGCACTTCCAGCATCTGAGGAACTGAAGACCCAGTGGATGACTTTTTTTTTTTATGCCAAAATAACATGGCTAATGTTACTACTAGCTTTGATCGTATGCTCACCTGTCAGAGCTTTGTGGAAATGATAACACTGAGGGACATTCGGAGATAGTTGATACTGATTTGAAACCAATGAAAAAGAACTAGTGCGGCCAAAACTCAGCCGCTGTTTTCATCCATTTGCTTCTCTCCTGCTCCCTGTGCTCACAATACAGACAAATTCATAACAGAGCTGTTCTCATTTACATTAATTTTTGTTTCTGTTGACAGATAACAGAACAAGTATGAAGTAGTGACTAGAAGTAACCAGAAGTCACTTCACTGCTGTTCCCGACCTGCTGCTCTGTTCTGCTAAAATACAGATTTTGTTTCCACAGTGCTGTCTGATAAAACAACAGCTATGTGTCAATTGGGTGATATTTTGGGTGAACATATTTTGATTAATGAAAACCAGGACATTGGCCTGGCAATGAGATACTTAAATGATACTTAAAGTTTCCTCAAAGATGCCTTATACTTTCAGTACATTTAAAACCAGGACATTTTTTATCACTTTATATAAAAACAACCAGGACAGGACGTGAAAACAGGACGTTTGGTCACCCTAGTGATGTTTCCATGTAAAATGATCACTCAGCGAGAAGGTTGCAAGATCTCACACAGTCATCATATTGCAGCCAACAGTTTTGCTCCACACTGTCAATCACAGATGCAGAGAGAGTCTTCTTCCTGAAGCTGGATTACCACAGGAAACAGGTGATACTTTCAAGGTGAAGTGAACCATCTTACAGTATTTTGAGCTGAAAAATTGAAAGACACATTTTGAGGTTTGGTTTAGACATGTGAAACTTTAATCTGTTGAAAGGGGCACAATGTGCGTCCGCCAAGTGGTTAGTAAATCACTTTGACTCGTCCCTAAAGCCTAATAAATAAAGTGACTTCACTGTGTCTCCGACTGAATCGTAATCTATAATAATGTCAGTTGTAACTGACTTCCAAATGAACTTGTGGTTGGTGTGAATTGCACATCTATGTGTTTGTGTGAGGGGAGGATGTCACAGCAGGAAATCCTCTCACACCTGGAGGATCAGTGAGACGACTGTACCGACACACACATTCTAATATGACAATTAATCACAGCAGGTGGTATAAACACACAGTGGCTCGCCGTCTCACACAGAGACCTTGAGGGTTTCACGTTTGTATTCCCTTTACACACTTAGAGAAGCACAGCGGGAAGGCAGCCGTCCTGTAATTATTTGCTGGCGCTCACGTGTAGCCAATGCTCATTTCAGATTAATTACACAAACTTGGTCAATGCAACTTCTCGTGTGCAGCAGAGCAGACTACACAAGACTTTTTTGTTGTTGTTATTTTTGTGTTGGATCACATTCATGAACAAAAGCACGTACATGTCGCCTTGTAGCTGTGCAATGGGACTGTGCTTACCTTTGCTTGTAATTAAGACTGCATGAGCATTAATTGTTGGATAATTAGTCTGCTCTCATAGGAAATCCTCATTTGAGGCCTTGACTGAAAAAAATCTGTTTAGTATACTTGTTTACATTTTTTTTTTTTTAAAGGTGAATGGCACTTGGGGAAAATAATTGCAAATTCAAGAAAGGAAATCCCGGCTGGAATTTATTTTCTATCATGATCTCACTTTAAGAAACACAACACAACATTTAAACAGCTCTGTAATGCTAAACATTTGCAGGCCTGTGTACAATCCTGTGGTTGAGCTTCAGGTCACAATTATTGTCATTGTCGTTTATAATCTATTGATAGTTTTTGGGTCAATAAAATGTCAGAAAATATTGATCAGTGTTTCCCAAAGCCCAAGATGACCATCCCGAATGTTTTTTTGTTGTTTTTTTTTAAATCCAGGACCCCAAAATATTTTGTTTATTGTCATAAAGGAGGAAAGAAACTTAAAAAAATAGACATTTAAGAAGCTGGAATCAGAGGAATTGTAGATTTTTTTCTTGAAAAAGTTACCAATTGATGATGAAACTAGTTGATGATAATTTAATGGTTTGCAGCTAATTGATGAGTGAATTAATTGCTGTAGCTCTACTCTGGAGGTGTGTTTTAGAGCGTCCAGTTAAATGAACTGATTCAGAAGTCACACACACACAAGCTAAGAAATAAGCCTTAAAGTTGCTCATTTGAACACACGACAGCAGGGTTTTGTTGTTTGAAATAACACAAATGCATGATCTGGACATATTTTCTACATTTTGTTATGGCATTCAAAGCTACATACAGATGAAACAGGTAAAAACATTAAGAAACTTAAAAACTACAAAGCTGGTATCAAATACACTAGTTAGGACACTTATATGGAGATCTATGACACACAAAAATAACCTGTAAAGCTCATCGTGTTCTGCTTACTCTGAGATCATTGAGGTGCAGTAATCAGATTACATTTAACTGTAATGCATCACTGTTCCTAAAGTAACACTATAGCTACTTCCAGCCAGTGTAGCTTTATGCCAGCCTGATGCTCTTAGACATGGAAGTTTGCATATCGAAGAGCTTTAAAGGAGGATCTTGTGCACGTTTTCCTTGTTAGGGTTCGGATTTGCTATAACAAGTAGTGTAACTAATTACCTTAAACGTTGAGTAAATAAGCTATGTGTTGCCCTGATCATTACTCAGATATTTAAGTGCAACAGTGGACAAAATGTGGACTACAGTGTGCACATTGTAACACACTTTCTCCTCTTTCTAATACACAGCTGGTAATCTATGCAGAGTAGCACAGTAACACAATCTGAATGTACAGTCTGTCCCCCCTCTCTCTTTCTCTGACTAATATAAATTAAGCCAGGTTGCCGTCTTAACTGGGTCACCTCGGTTTTCCCCAACGAGCAGTTTAACATGTTATGTAATGGCTTATAAATATAGCCAGTCGGTGCTGAGTGTGTGCGAGCAGCAGGCTGAAGGAACCCAAACTGTGTCAGCTCTATTTTAAAAGGCTGCGATATAAAACGCATTCAGCTAAATGAAGACTAGATGTATTAGTCACATACTGCAGACTTTGTTTAATGCACACTTGTTCTCGGCTGTTACCACACACACACACACACACACACACAGACATGAGATTTGATTCCAGGCTTGCATCATGCAGTAATCTTGTCACAATGTTTATGGCCAGTTGTAACTTCACAATCCGCCTCTTGCAGCTGCTAATCATGTTTTAGCGTTCACGCTTTGCTGTCACACAAGTGACGGGCCCAGCGCTAAGAGCCGCGCCTGTCTGATTGAAGGAAACGTTTTCATCTCGATAAATCAAAGTGTAAACAGCGCCGGAGGATTCACGGCACTGTATAATGATGTGTTGTGCGTCTGCGAGAGTGAGAGTGATAAGCTCATGCAGTTGTGAAGATTAGATAAAGAGGGAAAGTTTATCCCTTTAATGGGAACATTTGCATTTCAGCAATCACGGCCCGCCACCATCTGCGCGTACGCTTTACCCCTGTACGTTGTGTCAGTCAGTTGTAGCCACTGTGCCAAAAGAAGAAAAAAAAACACAAGGCCACTCCTGTTGACTATACAGGCTGGAAGAGAAAGCAGCAGGGAGGACGAGGACTGGAGGGAAGTCTGCTCTGTGCAGCACCTCTCAGCATGTTGGATTAATGCAGCTCCAGTGCATCTCCAGCTGCACTGCAGGCGTCCTTTTGTGCCAACAGCTGTTAAACCAAACAGCTGTCGAATCCAAATCAATTCAATCAGAGAAAGTGTGAGTGAGCACTGGCTGAAGTGCATTTCATAGAAAGGTACAATACCTCAATAATGAATCTTTCAAATTAAAAGAAAGTACAAAAAGAGCTATTGTTTTTAAAATGTGCTTTTACAACCAAAAAAACTGAAAAACAAGGATTAAAGTTTAGTAATAACCAATAAAAACTTGATAATACAGTAATAACGCAATAATACCACAGTAATAACACAATACTGACATAAGAGTTCATTAAAAACAACACACAAAATAAGCAGTTACAGGAAAAAAGGCTACAGGTAAATCAAAGACAAAACAATTTAGAAAACCAACATAAATAAATAAATTTAGAAAAATCTAAAACACTTCCGAACTTACCAAACAGGGAAGTGAAACCCAACCACTGTGCAGTGAATGTGGTTATAAATTCAATAAATTCAAAGCTGCTACTAAAGTTACAGAACAATTCCACAATAAGAAGAAAATGAGTTGCTTTAGCTGTTCTGGTCTTGTAAAATGTCCCCCATGTTCATGTTGCACTTCTATACAGACTGGACCTTTATGTTAAGGCGCTTAATAGAAACTTGGACTTCTTTAGGAGCTGCACTAATGACCTAACTAATATCGCCTTGTTTTAATTATGATTTAGTATGATAGAGTTTCCAGTGTAATCCTACTGTTTTGCCCTTTAAAATTTAAACCTTCCATTCTGTACTGTGCCGCATTATACAATGACATACAGTTTGTTGAAATAATAGTATTAACTTCTATTTCGACAGGGCTTTTTCAAAGTGCTTCACAAGGCAGCAAAATAGAACAGACAAGTCAGAAAATCTTTAGTGTAGAAGACAGATCAACACACTACACGCTGTATAAAACCAACACAGTGTCAAGTGAGGTAAAAACAATACTGAAAGGAACAAAAGACAGAGGAAATAAAAACTCAAACAAAAAACAGGAAAGCTTGTCTGATAAAAGTGTGTTAAGGAGGGACTTAAAAAAGATCACTGACTCAGCCGACACCGTTTCCGCAGCCAGATCAGGGTTCAAACTGCAAACACTTTGTCCTTTTTACTTATCATTCAGGCCCCTAGAACAGACAGCAGACCTCTTCCTGAGGATCTTAAAGTACGTTCTGGTATGTAAGTTACTAAAACTAGGAGAGACATCATGAAGGGCTTGAAAAGTGATCAGTAAAATATTGAAATCTGTCCTAAAATATACTGGGAGCCAGTGTAAAGATGTTCAAACAGGAGTGATG